ATTCATCCTCAGGACTTCCATAAAAACCTTTAAATGACCAACACACTCATCTACCAAATACTCCTCCTGCATAATCCTCACAACACTGACACCTTCACACCTCTATCCATACACATTTGCACGTACTTACGTTCACATATGAAGCAAAATGTGGCATTGTCTCGAGGCTAGAAACAGAAGCAGACCTTGAACTGATAAAAATACTTTCTGGTATTAATAGCGCAACATTGTAGAAAAAGTTTTTTTATTTGGTAACTTTTGTTGCTATTTTTGATTGGTATTGTTAAGTTTGTGGATTTATTTATTTTTAAATGGTTGTTAAGGAAGTTGAGGCTGATTATTGAGTATTAATGTAGTTGCATGACGACAATTGAGAGAGGATTATGTGAAGATTATTTTTGGGTTAGAAAATGATTCGAATTTAACATACAAGTGGATTTGTGCTTGAGTTTTGAGGTTAAGGTTTTGAGGTTTAATGTTTAGGTGCCTTCACACTAGCTTCCAAACGTTCAGGAATCTTCACACTATAGATTTTATGTTCAGGTGCTTTCACAATAGTGTTCTAATGTTCAGGTGCCTTCACATTAGATTTCAAACGTTCAGCAATCTTCACACTATAGATTTTATGTTCAGGTGCTTTCACAATAGTGTTCTAATGTTCAGGTGCCTTCACATTAGCTTTCAAATGTTCAGAAATCTTCACACTATAGATATTATGTTCAGGTGCTTTCACAGTAGTGTTCTAATGTTCAGGTGCCTTCATATTAGCTTTCAAACGTTCAGCAATCTTCACACTAGATATTATGTTCAGGTGCTTTCACAATAGTGTTCTAATGTTCAGGTGCCTTCACATTAGCTTTCAAACGTTCAGAAATCTTCACACTATAGATATTATGTTCAGGTGCTTTCACAATAGTGTTCTAATGCTCAGGTGCCATCACATTAGCTTCAAAACATTCAGGAATCTTCACACTAGTGTTTCAATGTTCAGATGTCTTCACACTAGAATACTTTTATTCAGGTGCCTACACACCAGCATCATCGAGTGTGAAAACGTCCTTAAAAATCCAATTAAAACTTTCTAATTGAAAACGTTCCCATTATTTACAATTTTTCTCTCAAAATCCCCTTTAAACTCATTTTTCCTCACATAACCATTTTCAGTTCATTAAACAAAACTCGATTACTCTTTATCCCTTCCGATTCTTACATTCAACTTCCAACATTTCCTGTATTCAACATTTCTTTATTGCATACATTCATTTTTTATGGCAATTATGTTTACAACAACGCCCATAAGAGTCAATTTGTTGCATGTCGCAGCCACACACGCAGTTATATTTTATGATGAAAACATTAAAATTGCATTTTCCTCGGTTTTTTCACTCCAACGACATAAAAAAGTTGAATGTGTAAGAAGAAAATGTCGCACATTGTTGCAATTGATTTTTTTTTCATCGTGCTTGAAATTGAAACTTTATTTCACTTGGGAACATGTTATGTTCATTTTGAAGTGAATTTTATATTAAAAGTTTGTGGTTTTGAGTAGTTTTATGGATGAAATTTTGAGAAACATAGCTTTCTATTAAAGTTTTGTGGTTCAGGTGGTTTAACATTAGAATCAGAAAAGTTCATGTGCTTTTAAACTTGTTCTTTTTGTTCGGATGCCTTCACACTAGCATCAAATGGTTCAGGTGCCTTCACACTAGCATCAAATGATTCAGATGTCTTTACACTAGGCTCAGAGAGTTTCAAGTGCCTTTACAAAAGAGTTTAAAGATTTGGGTGCCTTCACACTAGCATCAAATTGTTCAGGTGCCTTTATAATAGGCTCAGAGAGTTTCAGGTGCCTTCACACTATCATTAAATGGTTTAGGTGCCTTTACACTAGGCTCAGAGAGTTTTAGGTGCCTTTTCAGCAGAGTTTTAAGATTCAGGTGCCTTCACACTAGGTTCAGAGAGTTTCAGGTGTCTTTACAACTGAGTTTTAAGACTCCGGTGCCTTCATACTGGTATTAGAAGAGATCAGGAGCCTTCACTATACAGTCAGAGAGGTTTAGGTGCCTTTACAATTAAAATTTAGGATTCAGGCGTCTTCACACTAAAATCAGAGACGTTAAGCTGCCTTCACACTAAGGTTTCAGTTTTAAAATTACACTATTAAGAATAATGACTGTGGGGACGCTTTGCGTGTCAAGTTGCACGTAGAATTTTTTCAAACTTATTTTCTCCTTCTCCATACTCTTGTGCGTATCAAAATGCAACAAATACACTCCAAATTCTCTAAACTCGTTTACTAAATTGCCCCAAGGATAAAAAAAACGGAACAAATCAACAATCGGAAATGAAAACTTTGTTCTTCACTTGAACAATTTTTCTGTTAAATTTTTCATTAATGAAACTATGGAAAAACATGCAAAATTGTAATATTTGAATTTTTAAAAAAAGTTGTGTTGAAAACTTTACTTTGATTATGTGAAAATGGATGTGAAAAATGTAGAAAAACTAAAAGTTTTCTGAAAATGAGTATGTCGATTTTGAGTGTCTTGTAATGGAATTACATTCAATATGGGGTGGAGTGTGACATGGTTGGGAGGTATTGACTCACTTGTTGAGCTTCGTGTCGCACAAAAACTGTGTAGAACTGGAAATTTTCAACAACATAACCTCAAAATTTATTAAAATTAGGTAAAAATTAATGATTTTTTTTATTTTTTCAAACAGAATCTCCCACAATTTAGACAAATTAGCTTCAAACTATAAAAATGAATAAATTTTAAAAAATGAAAATAAAAGACATAATAAATTTTTCGTTCCCAACAATTTAACAAAAATTAAAAAAATATTAACCCAAAAAGTGTCGGAAAAAATTCACCAAATTTATTTATTAAGAGTGGAATTGATGAATTAAAAAAAAATTAAGCAATAATAAGAAGTAAAGGACCGTTATTTTAGTGATTGAAAAATTAATCTAGATTTTAAGTGTAGACAGCAAAGTAGTCTATTAGTTTTGTGTAAAGTGTTAAAGTAAAGTTAAATTAGTTTAAAAAAATGATCGATCCAAGTTCGTCTGAGGAAGAGTCGGAGGAAGAGCATCCACAACCATTGCCAAATGAACGCGGTAGAGGACATCATCACCAGCCACCATCTTATGGTGCTGGAAGGAATTTGGATGTGCCAAGCTCAACACCAAGGTAAGAATTTGTGGTTCAAAAATGATTTATACAGAATACTCATATGATAATCCAATAAAGTAAAAAAATGTCCCATAATAGTAGACGAATATACTAAAATAGGAGACGAATATGCTAAAATAGTAGACGAATATACTAAAATAGTAGACGATTTTACTAAAATAGTAGACGAATATATTAATATTGTGGACGAATATACTAAAATAGTAGACGAACATACTAAAATAGGAGACGAATATACTAAAATAGTAGACGAATATATTAAAACAGTAGACGAATATGCTAAAATAGTAGACGGACATACTAAAATAGTAGACGAATATACTAAAATAGTAGACGAATATACTAAAATAGTAGACGATTTTACTAAAATAGTAGACGAATATATTAAAATTGTGGACGAATATACTAAAATAGTAGACGAACATACTAAAATAGGAGACGAATATACTAAAATAGTAGACGAATATATTAAAACAGTAGACGAATATGCTAAAATAGTAGACGGACATACTAAAATAGTAGACGAATATACTAAAATAGTAGACGAATATACTAAAATAGTAGACGAATATAATAAAACAGTAGACGAATATGCTAAAATAGTAGACGGACATACTAAAATAGTAGACGAATATACTAAAACAGTAGACGAATATACTAAAATAGTAGACGAATATACTAAAATAGTAGACGATATACTAAAATAGTAGACGAATATACTAAAATAGTAGATGAATATACTGAAATAGTAGACGAATAAACTAAAATAGTAGACAAATATACTAAAATAGTACACCATTGTTATCAAGCTTAAGGTTCAATAGAAATTCAGTTATTATTCAAAATGTGATCCTAAATATCAAAACTTTATCAATTCCTCCTTCAAAAACGAATTCCTTTAAAGTTCATCGTATCTTTTTCAAAATATGCAAGAATTCCCGTCATCATGTTTTCATAAAATAAGAATTTTTATAATTGAAAAATAAAATCCTTTACTTTTTCTTTAATATCATCTTGAGATCAATGAACCAGCTACACAATATTTATGATTTATGAAGCAATCATAAGCAAGAAGCAAATGCATTCATAAGATTCTGTAAAAACCGGAATAAAAGATGCGATTAAATAAGCTTTCAAGAGAAAAAGAATTGCTTAAATGAGCTTTTGATTAGTTATTGGAGTCATTTTGTTCGAGTTTGTAGACTGCAGTAGTAACAAGAGTTGACTAGAGTCGGCTGGGTTGGGAAAGACTCGGCTAGAGTCGGTTAAAGTCGGTTATAGTCGGCTAAAGTCTTCAATAGTCTACTAGAGTCTATAATAGTTGATTCAAGTCATTTAAACGTGACAATACCCAATTTGAGTCAACAAAATTCGATTATAGTTGTCTAAAGTCTAAAAAATAAAATGCGTCCTAAACAACTCAACCTTAAAAATGCCTCTCTATCTTGAATTTTTTTTCATATTTTTCTCTTTCCATTAAAACGACCACCCAACTCATCGCCACTATCACAATCCACCAGAACATTATCACCATCAACACAAGAAGTCTCACAACATTCCGGCTCAACACGCAGCAATCAATTACAACGTCCAACATCCCCATCTCCATCACTACCAGCTGAACAGCAGGATCCAGCCGAGTTAGCTGAACGACATAAGATCGAGGAGGAAGAGAGAAAGAAGCGCATTCAACTTTATGTCTTCGTATCACGTTGCATCTCGTATCCATTTAACAGCAAGCAACCGAACGACATGACAAAGCGACAGCCAAAAGTAACAAAGCAGAATCTCGACACAATTGTTAATCGATTTCTGGCATTTATGAAAGGCGAGACACAAATTATGGCCGATGAAGCATTTCAAAATGCCGTTCAATCATATCATGATGTCTTTCTCAAGTCGGATCGTGTACAGAAAATGGTGCTCAGCGGTGCATGTACCCAACATGATTTTCGGGAGGTCTTTCGTAATAACATTGAGAAGCGAGTAAGATCACTGCCGGAAATTGATGGATTGAGTAAGGAGACTGTCTTGACGTCGTGGATGGCTAAATTTGATTGTATTTTGAAAGGAACTGGTGAGTTGAGATTAAGTTTTGGAATTGGTGTGGGTTTGAGACGTAAGATTGGGGCTCGTACTCTTCAATTTTGGGTTTAATGCAGTGGTGTCGAATATTTTTTGTGCAATGGCACACTTGGTGGTAAGCCGCACACAACGTACGGTTCGTGCGATATCCCAATTTTTTTCACGGCACACAGGTTGGTCATCACTGGCTCTAATGTGACTCAATCTTTAACTTTTTCATCAAAATCAGGTGACGATGAACATAAGAGACCAGCAAGGATGCAGCCACTGAACAGTGAAAGCATTTTAACAAAGGAACAGCTGTTTGACATGTTTCAACAGATTCTCGGTGTTAAAAAGTTTGAGCATCAAATTCTGTTCAATGCTTTGATGGTAAGTTGACCAAACTATCTTAAAATCACCAAAATTTGACCACATTTGATCCTTAGCTTGACTCAGCTGATGAACAAGCAGCAGCAATCCGACGTGAACTCGATGGTCGAATGCAACGAGTTCAAGCAATGGAACACAACCGTAAATTAATGCCAAAATTTGTGCTCAAAGAGATGGAGTCACTGTACATTGAGGAGCTGAAATCTAGCATAAATCTTCTAATGGCTAATCTCGAGTCATTGCCGGTGTCGAAAGGCGATCCAAAGTACGGAATTAAAAAGAAAATTGGAAAGTACAATCACAGGTGAGGAAATTGACACTGGAAGAAATGAATTGTGTTGATTATTGGCATTTATGGAATTCGATAGATAAGAAAAAAAAATATGTTGAATTAGGCTATTCATACAGAAGAGATTGAGAACCTTTTTTTTAACATTTACTTTTTCTTTATTCTAGTTTTCATTATTTAAGAAAAAATATTTTTCCTGATTTTTATGGCCTTTCCCTTTTTAAATTCTCAATTTTTTAACAAATTTTTTATTGGAAATCTTTTAAAAATTCTTGCTTATTTTAATCTATGCAGCTATCTTGCAACACATTTGTGCTATTTTTAATAATTTTTGAAAATTCTTTTAACTTAAAAAGAAAGAAGAAAATATGAAAAAAAAATTTTGCTTTTTTTGAAAAGTAATTTTTTGAATGGATTTGATGAAATTGGAAAATTTGTGAATAACTTCTTGGAAGATTTGGAAAATTGTCACTAATTAATCCATTAAATCAAGTCATCCAGTCCTTATCTTCAAACAAGTTTTCATGTCTAAATCCAAATCTAAACCAAAATCCAAATAATCCACTCAAGTTCTACGGTTATTCAAGCTAATTCAATCCACATTTTCGCGCTTTTATTGCTTCGCATTTTACGCAACAAAATTTTTATTTTTTTTTTTAATTTCCATAATTTCTCCATTCATTCAAACCCAAGGCGAGCCGTCTGGTTCCTTTATTACTTTATTTTCTTCTTGTTTATATTTTGTGATGTTTGCTGCTACTTCTTGTTGATATTGATCATTTAATGAATCCTTTAGAATTCTAGCATATTCTTGTGGTTTTTTGTTTGAGGAAATTCGAGATTTTTTTTAACTTTTTGAATAACATAATCTGAGTAAATCTTAATATTTAAAGGTATTAATTCTTCTTGAACCAAATTTTTTTACCTGCTTTAAAAATTTCAAGTTTTCAACGGTTTTCTAAATTTTAAATTTATACTTGTTGTGAAATTTTCAATTTTTTAACGGTTTTGTAAATTGAAAGTTTATATCAGTTTACAATAATTCAAATTTTTACCGATTTTTTTAAATTCGAATTTATTAACGGTTTCAAAAAGTTCAATTTTAAAAGATTTTAAAAAGTTCAAATTTCTAGCGGTTTTCAAAAATTCAAATTTTAAACAGTTTAAAAAAGTTCAAATGATAAACGACTTCTTTTGGTTCAAACTTCTAGCGGTTTTCAAAAATTCAAATTCTAACGATTTAAAAAAAGTTCAAACTTAAAAGATTTTAAAAAGTTCAAATTTTTAACAATTTACAAAACTTCAAATTTTTGTCATTTTTTTATATTCCAATTTATTAACGGTTTCAAAAAATTCAAACTTATAAGATTTTAAAATGTTTAAATTTTTAACGGCTTTCAAAAATTCTAATTTTCATCAAACTTTAAAAAATTCCAAACAAACATCACAAATGGTTCAAAATTTTTGTATGACTTTAAGGAAATTTTCAACCTTTCTTCATTTTCTTTAATATTTTTACGACACTCAAGAGCAAAATTAATTTTCATTTTCCCAACAAAAAACATCCGCAAAGAAAAAAAAGATGCAAAACTAAATTGAAATAAATTTCATTTTTAAAAGCATCCAAAAAAAATCTCAAAAAACACAGAAAGAAAGCAACTTTATTGATATTGCGATGCGTGCAAATTGCTAGATCTTTGGCTTCGTCTTTATTTTGTAATCTTAAGTCAATGCATTGAATATAAAATGGATGATAAAGACGAATAAAAAAGAAAGAAGACATAAATTTTACACAAAAAAGGGAAAGAAAATCGAGTGATGAAGTTAAAGTTTTTTTTTTATGAGTTTTGTGTTCAAAATTAAGTATGTTTTGTTGTTTTTTATGGTTTGTGTAAGTTAGAGGTGGATTATTGATGGAATTGGGGAGATTCAGTAGCTGGATAAGGAGTGATAAGGAAGTTGTTGGACTTTTTAAATTTTGAATGGCCGTTAAAAAGTTGATTTTTTTATTTGTTTGTTTTAATGTTTAAAAAGACTTGAGGGAAGGAGGGAGGAGGGGCAAGAGTTGCTATAAGGATAGGCAGTTAATTGATTTTTGCCGATTTTTGGTCTGAGAAACAGGTCCCGATTTCAGCTCTGATCTGGTCCGGGACAGACCAAATGTTCAAGCATTTTCCATAAAAATAGATTCAAAAACCGAGACTCCCCCGCTCAAAAGAGCAAAGTTGGTGCATTTTGATCAAATTACTTCTCATTTCAAGCTACGACCATATTTATACTGAATCGTCCACTTCCCTACTTTTTTCTTAAAAACCCTGGCACATTGAAATTTGCCCAAACCCCATCCACCCTTCCGTGGCTTCGAGCTGAGTTTCTCATCTTTGATTCTTATCCAACCATAGCTAGGCTGACCATTCGCTTGATATTTTAGAGGACAGCCTAATAATCGCTCCCCTGTCTAAAGTCACCCAACTAGACTAAAATGCTGAACCAGGAACGGATTCTCAGCTAAAATACTACACAGATTGACATCCCATCCATGTCAGTCTAACTTATTCTCAACCAGTATTTTTATACCTTTTTGCTACGAATTTTATTTTTTCTAACGAATCTTCGTTTCACTTTTTTGACTTTTATGGAAATTGTGTCGCATAAAAACTTCACAAAGTGCGAAACGTAATCTTCTTAAATTCTTTATTTTACTGTCTGTGACATTTTTATAGTCCAATGTAACGGAAAGAAATAATAAGTTTGAAGACATAAATAGACAGTTTTGATGCAGCGTCATTGACTTTTGAGTTGTGGATTGTATTTTGTGCTTAAAATAGGAATTAAATGGTTGCTTAAAGATAACTGCCGTTGTTCAGTTTATCGATGATTGTAGGGTCTAATTGATATCACTGAAAATTCAAGATCTTTTAAATTTCAATAAAATTCTAACTCAGCATGTAATCTTGAAAAACCATTTTAAGTTCACACCAAAAAAAACTCAAAAATCAGTCAAATTTAAAAATGTTAATCAAAACAAATCCATTCGTACCATTCTAAAATTGAACGAATTATTGAAATATTTGTTGCCTTTTGAATCGATTTATTTGCATGACGCCTTCTGCCTTTTATTTAATGCCAAAAAATTTCATGTTTTCTTCTCACTTTTTTCAATCGATTTCATTTTAGTTTTATTTTATTTCACTCGTGCAGAGTGTGGACTTTTGATTGAGCATGCATTTGAGGCTAGATTGAGAAAATTTCAAAAAATTAAAAAAAAAATTATTGGTTTTTTTGGAGGTGGGAGCTTCTCCTCTTGGAGCTTCTATATTGGCTAAGAATGAATAAGGACAAATCTGGTTGAATTTGAAGATTGTCAAAAAAATTAGATTTTTTGTCAAAAAATGTTCAAAAATTAAATATTTGAAAAAATCTGCATTTTTTAAGCTCTAATTTGGTCACTTAATTTAAACTCATTTTTAAAAACACTAATTTTTTTCTATCACATTTTTTTAAAAACTATGCACATTTTCTTAAATTTAATTTCTTAAAAAACTCAAATTTAAATAAAAAAAAAATAAAAAAATTAAAAACATTTATGAAAATTTTAAAATTTTAAAACTACAAAATTTCAATTTTCTTAAAGATTATTGAATTTTCTTCCATAATTTCCTCAACTAGGTGCATTTAAATATTTCAAAAAAAAATAAAAATATGTAAGAAAACATTTCTTAACCAAAAGTTGAAACAAAAAATCAAATTTATAATTGAGGATTTTTTTTGACCAAACTTGGAAAACTCTGCAGAATTTTTGAGATATTTAACAATTTTTTAAACATTTGATCCTCAAAAATCCTCCGAAAAAACTAATCCAATTCAACAAATTCAACCTTATAAACCCCAAACCTAACCTAACATTCTCAAAAAAAAAATGTCCACATCTTGACATCCTTTTCTTCTCTTTGAACTGTTTTCATTTCCTATTGATTTATTTATTCTTTACTTTTTTCTTCTCAACATCAAATCAATCAAAAAACACACTCAAAAAAATTGATAACAAAAAAAAATCAATTCGATTCCATTGAACCATTTTGAACACCACAAACATCAAAAAATTCTTTTCCATCCATACACACAAAAAATAAATAAATAAAAAAATTCTGTTGGACAAAAAAACAAAATAAATATATAAAAATAAATTCGTGTGACGTCGAACATGCAACAGCTCGGGAAAGAAAAGTATGAAAAGCTCAAGCTCATTCAGGTAAGTGTCAGATCCTATTTCTATCTACACTCTATTTCTTTATATTTATATATGTCCTTTACTGTTTTGGTCCTTGTGGAAATTTTGTCTGAATTTTGGTGCGCTAAATTCAAACTGTTTTATTGTTTGAACTGAACTTTATTAGATTTTATTGGCCAGAATTCTAGCAGATTTTATTGACTAGAGTTCTAGCAGATTTTGTTGACCAGAATTCTAGCAGATTTTGTTGACCAGAATTCTACCGGACTTTGTCTAGAATTCTATCTTTCGATTAATTTATTCTGCCCAAAACGAGGTACTCTGGTCAAGATTCTGACAAAGTTCCCCCAAGGCCACCCTCACCCAATCTAAACTTACTTTCTATTTTTCCCTCAATCCACTTCTTTTCACTTCCCTAACTTTTAAGCTCACACAATTTTCTTATTTTTTTGCTTCCTCTTTCGGTTATTTTGATTTATTTTTTTGTGGATTTATTTCTTTACTTTATTGTAAGATCAGATTTCAGTTTTGCTTCATTTCCTTCATTCTTCTTAGTGTTCATACTCTTGATGTTTTAGGACACATGAGAAGGAAATATTTTACTCCCCTCTCTTTTTTTTTGGTGTTTTGCTGTTGTCATCTTAATCGTGGATAAGAGTTTGGAAATGCGAGATGTGCAAGGGATGGAAGATTGTCTTTAAAAGATATTTTAAGGGTTGTTGGTAAATTTTCTTGATTATTTTGGACTAAGCTCTAGTCATTGCATTAAGTAAAAGTTTTAAATGCTAAATAGCTTACTCTAGCAAGTTCAAATATACATCAATAATGCTAAGGATTACAAAAAAAAGTAAACAAGTAACAAAACCACTGCAATCAAGTACATAAAGCGCATTTCAAAAATTATTTTTTAATATTTCAGTAAATTTATTGATTTTTCTAATTTTTATTGGGCTTGCTAAGGTGAAACTTGGCACAAGTAAAAAAGTCACGGTTTCTAAAGCGCATTTAATTTTTTTAAACTAAATTCATCAAAAACATTAATAAATCTAAATCAATCCATCCCTTGACATCGATAGCATCTCATCTGAAAATCTCAATTTACAAGCATTAAAGACTTCCAAACGATTTCTCTTCAAAATTCAAACTTTTTTCATTCCTGATGTTTTTTTCACAATACTTCTTGATGTATTTTTCCCCCTTTTAAATCACTTCCCTTCTTCTTAAACTTACTCTCTTTACTTTAAATCCTCAAGTAAATGTGAAATGTCTCTAGAAGATTAAGTGACATAAATTGCTGCTGTTAAAGAAACACGAGTAAAATTAATCATGCAGGAACTTGAGGACGAGTTTCAGGAAGAACAAGCAACGTTGAAGGAAATTTTGCATGTTTAAAGTTTTTTAATTTTTTTAAAATTTAAAATTCAAAATTCCAAAAAAATTAATTTGAATTTTTCATAATTTTCACCATTTTTCTGTTAAATTGTTCGTGAAAAACGCGCTAACAACACAAGTTTCACAACAACATAAGAGAACTCAATCATGCTCATTTTTCAAAAAAATGTCTCTAAGTCAGTGGTGGTCAACCTTTTTTGTGCCACGACATATCTTAATGCAAAACCATGACTAAAACTGCATGGTTCGTGGGATTTCTAGAATTTGCCTCGCGGCACATGGGTTGATTATCACTGCTCTAAATCATTCACATCTTTTTTCAACTTTAACTTACTTTACGGAAGCTCTGCATTGCAAATTTCGCATGTTGCCTTTAAAAATTGATTTTCTTTTTTATTTAATTTACGAACCTACCTTCAGTAGCCTAGCTTATCTTTTACTTTACAAAATCCACATTATATATTATATACCAAAACAACTTCCTACTCCTTCTTAACACACAATATCTTTATACAAAAACTTAATTAAAAAATAATAATTTACACTTACCAAAAAATACACAAACACTAAGTTCTGAAAAATAAACTGAAAAAATTTAAGTAAACTTATACATGATTGTTGATGTAACATTTGTACCAATACAACAATCTAGAAAAATGATACTCAGGTCACAGGGCTCGCTGGCAAAAATGGAAGGCGATGCCGATGGCAGTGATACGCAATTGACAAAGATGGATGTTGTGCTCACATTTCAACTTGAGATTGTCGTTATGGAAGTAAAAGGACTCAAGTCGTTGGCACCAAATAGAATTGTTTATTGTACAATGGAGGTTGAGGGAGGCGAGAAGCTGCAGACGGATCAGGCTGAGGCATCTAAACCGATGTAAGTAGACATAATTTTAAAATTCTAGCCTTAGTTCTTTACAATAATGCCATCCATAGGTGGGACACGCAAGGTGACTTCACAACAACACACCCGCTTCCATCCGTCAAAGTGAAATTGTATACAGAAAATCCAGCAATGTTGGCATTAGAAGACAAAGAGCTCGGACGTGTCGTACTTAAGCCCACACCACTCTCATCGAAAGCACCCGAATGGCATCGACTTACCGTGCCGAAAAATCTTCCTGATCAAGATTTACGAATAAAGATTGCATGTCGTATGGATAAGCCTCTTAATATGAAACATTGTGGATATTTATATGGCATCGGTAAAGGCGTGTGGAAGAAGTGGAAGAAACGTTATTTTGTGTTAGTTCAAGTATCACAATATACTTTTGCAATGTGCACTTATAAAGAGAAAAAGTCTGAGCCATCGGAGATGATGCAATTGGATAATTTTACCGTTGATTATATTGAGGCAGCTAGTGGTAAGTGCAATGCCTTAATGCCCATAAATAATCACTAATAATCCTCATTTTTCCATCAACTGTAGCCGCTCTAATGGTCGGAATGGATCTCGAAGGCGGTCGATTTTTCTTCAATGCCGTACGTGAAGGTGATAGCGTATTATTTGCGAGTGACGACGAGAATGAGTGCAGTTTATGGGTGATGGCACTTTATCGTGCCACGGGACAATCGCATAAGCCAACGCCACCAATAAGTTCGGGACAAAACTCATCCATATCGAAACTTCAGGGTGATGCTGATAAGGCCCGTAAACATGGCATGGAGGACTACATAAGTGCCGATCCGTGTCAATTTGAGCATGCGCAGCTATTTAAAGTATTACAAAATTTAACGTTAGATTATCGATTGAATGATACATTTTCATCTATGGGATGGTTCAGTCCGGGACAAGTCTTTGTTCTCGATGAATATTGTGCCAGATATGGCGTTCGTGGATGCTACCGACACCTTTGTTACCTTTCCGATCTTCTCGATCGTGCTGAGAAGAATTTAATGATTGATCCCACGCTTATTCATTATTCGTTTGCCTTCTGTGCTAGTCACGTGCATGGAAATCGACCTGATGGTGTTGGAAGTATTACGCATGAGGAGAAGGAGAAATTTCAAGATATTAAAGAGCGCTTACGTGTCTTATTAGAATATCAAATAACTAATTTTAGGTGAGTATAGGAAGGAAATGAGGACAGCCAAAACTACGGGAAAAGTAGATTAAAACAGACTTGCTGAGGTAGTATACTAAAATGGTAAAATAGCTGAGGTACTAGATTGAAATGGTAAACTAGCTGAAGTACTAGATTAAAATGGTAACCTAGCTGAGGTACTAGATTAAAGTGGTAAACTAGCTGCGGTACTAGATTAAAATGGTGATCTTGCTCAAGTACTAGATTAAAATGATAATCGACCTTCGGTATTAGATTAAAATGTTAAACTTGCTGGGTAACTAGAATAAAGTGGTAAACCAGCTTTGGTACTAGATTAAAACCGTAAACTTGCTGACGTAAAAGATAAAAAATGTTGGGAAAATTGAAGTACGAAACTGAATCGTAAACATACATAAAGTAACTCTTTCAATCTTCAATCATCCCACAGATTTTGTTTTCCATTTGGACGGCCTGAGGGTTCATTGAAAGCAACTCTTTCACTCCTCGAACGTGTTCTAATGAAAGACATTGTGACACCAGTTCCACCAGAAGAGGTTCGTTCAACAATAAAGAAGAGTCTGGAGAATGCAGCACTCGATAATTACACGAGATTGTCAGCTGAGGCTAAAATTGAGGGTGAGTCGTACAGAAATAAAATAAAAAAAATTTTTTAAATTGACAAAATTGTCACTCACAGAGGATCTCCGAGGAGAAATGATGGTCGCTCCAGCCAAGAAACTTGAAGACTTGATTCACTTAGCAGAACTTTGTGTCGACCTCCTCCAACAAAATGAAGAACATTACGCTGAGGTGAGTCAGACCTATCGAAAATGTCAATGAAACTTTATTGATGTATCAGAAGATGAAAAACTCTGTGTTTTTACCACTAACTTTTTTCCTTCCTTCTTCTTGAGTTTCTTTTTTGTGTGTATTTCGACAAACATATAAAAATATTTTCTGACAACAACAACAACAAAAATCAAAAATTTTCGACATAACTGCGAATTTAAAAATTAAAATTATTCAAAAAAACATTTTTTTCCTGTACAAACTCATATCATTATCATCCAAAGATACAAGGCGCGAACCTTGTCATCATTTCATGCATGTTACTGTGTAAATGTTAATGATTTATGTGCATTTGGATGTTTGTATCTGTGTGTGTATGTGTCCTTGCATCCTACATATTCATATGAACTTATTTTTTGTTCCTTTTTGTGTCTCCAGTTTCATTTACATACACATTATACGATTTGTCGGTTGATGAAGGCTTGCCGAGGAGCACATGAAGTTTTTATTAATTGTGCTGGGTTTCAGGATGTCAGAGATTATTTTTAAGTCATAAAGCACTGTTGAGACCTGTTTTTTAGAATATTGATGGTAAGATACCAGAAGGTTTTCTAAGGGTTCAGTGCCCCAGCTAGCCAAACAGCAATTTCATGTGTCAATCGGCCTTCCAGTTCATTTATCGCTCAAATAAGCTCAGTTGTGAGTCCATACAAGCATGAGATTCCATTTTAATGATAAAAAATTAGCCACAGCTGCCAAGGAAATGCTGAACCAAAATGAACAAAAACTGCCAATGCCACTTTTTATCATTCTTCCTTCCTGCATCACAAGAGCTTTTGTGTCTCATATTTAACTCACTGTATTCTATCCATTTACATCCGCAAACAATGACAAAAATGAGAAAAAATTAAAACAAAAAATCTTTAACGTCATGTGACATTGAACTAAACTGCTCGTTGCTAGCTTTATTGTCGGTCAGGACAGCAAAAAGCTCCGCATAGATGAGAAAGAATGCAAGTTTTTTTTGTATGAACAATGAAAGTATTCTCGCAAAAATTCTATAGAATGATGATGTTCTGTTATGTATGACTAGATTGTGTTGGATTCTCTTTTTTTAATAGTCATGCATAACCTCATTCTAGAATATCTGACTTAATCAAGAACAAAAGCTATTCAGCACATGCAAAATACAGAAATTCTGTAATTCATAATGGATGATTCCTCATCTCAATTGTCTGATACGAATGGGAATATTATTTTTTTTCTATAGAAATTCTCATGCAGACCTCAGTTAGTGTCTGATAGCTCAACTTTCGAAGAATTTTCATAAATTTTTAATCAAATGTCACTCAATAAAATTTCAATGTTTTCCCATCCTAACCTCAAAAAAAAAAAACAATTGAAATAAAAATAAAGACAGAAAAATCAATAAAAGCATGCCTGTAAAGATGCGAGATGTCACACACATTCGACTTGTTGTAAAAACAGCTTCTGAAGCTATAAAAAATTGAAAATGTGAAATGAGAAAATAAAAAAGAGTGAAAGACAGTTTTTGTGAATACTTTCGCACTTCATTTGTGTTTAGGGCAGGCGGGGGTGTGGTAAGGAATTTTTGGTCAAGGGCGAAGCCCGAGGGGAAGACAACACAACGGGAAAAAATTTCGATGTGAAATTGGTGTGAAATTTCCCACCACGATGGGAATTTCCCATCGTTTCCCGTCGATTTCCCATCGCAATGGGAAATTTCCCGTCGATTTCCCATCACAATGGGAAATTTCCCACCACTTTACGGGGCAATATTGAAGACAGCGAAAATCAAGAATTTTTTTTATATTCATTGAATGTTTCGAATTACACTCTCGGGGCATTTTTTTTCTTGTAGAGGACATCGAAATTGACTTCTTGTCGTAATTTTAGGTCATTTGGAGTTATTTCCGTAATTCTAGGGCTGTTTGAAGATAAAAATAGACGAAAATTCTGATTTTTTCCTGTCCTTTTTGAACTTAAAGTTCTCAACAATGATTAAAGTCAGAGATCGAAGCCGATTTTTTCGGCTTAACTCAATTTTTGATTTTTTTGATAGAAAAAAGCCATTTGACACCCATTTCAAGTATTTAAATTGAACTTTACATGCTTTACTATGATTCTGAGTAATATTTTGTCAGCATGTAGCTATAGTGAGCTCAGAATTTCAATTTTGAGAATGTTAAACCGAAATTTAAGCCGATCGGCTTAAAATCGGCTAAATTGAAATTCTGAGCTCACTATAGCTACATGCTGACAAAATATTACACAGAATCATAGTAAAGCATGGAAAGTTCAATTTAAATACTTGAAATGAGTGTCAAATGGCTTTTTTCTATCAAAAAAATTAAAAATTGAGTTAAGCCGAAAAAATCGGCTTCGATCTCTGATTAAAATAAAAGATTTATTTTAAAACATAATGAAATTTAGGATGTATGAAAATCTTAGGAAAACTATCTTCGTACGTTCCGCAAATATCTTAGCTCTGATAAATACTGATTGCTAACACAAAAATGTGCTGGGGTCCCAATAATAGTTCAATATTTGTCAAGATAAAGGGTACTTTTTGATTTCTGACGAGTTGTATCCTTTTCATATTTCTCAAACTGCTCTAACTCTTACAAAACAAAATACTTTTTAATCCGTTTTCAGTTTATTATAGCTTAACTTATAGTTAATACCTGATACGAACAGTTCATGTTCGACAGACTTATCGAAAGTCTAGGGGTGTTATAATATGCACGTTCGAAAAATTTAAATTTGAAAAAATCGTTACATTTTTTGTCATTTTAGTAGAGTTTTTGATGGTTTTAAAAAGATTTGGCTATATTTTGCATATTATTAAATGACTACATAATATTTTCATCAAAATTTCATATAAAACTTGCTTAATTTCATTTTTATTTTTTTCCTTATTTTCGAAAATTTTGAACTGCGGGGTATGAAACTTCGAATTTTGCGTGGCAGACAGACAAATAAGACATTTTCACAAGTTTTCTTCGAAACTGTAACGGTCGAAACCATTGAATTGTTCGGAACAGGTTAATACCTGATACGAACAATTCATGTTCGATAGACTTATCGAAAGTCTAAGGGAGTTATAATATGCACGTTCGAAAAATTTAAATTTGAAAAAAACCGTTGAAATTTTAGTGATTTTATTGGAGTTTTTGATTGTTTTCAAAAAGATAGAGCTATATTATGCTTATCATTAAACGACCACATAAAAGTTTCATCTAGATTTAATACAAAACTTGTTTAATTTAAGTTTTTATTTTTTTGTTAATTTCGAAAATTTCGAACTGCAGGGTATGAAACTTCGAATTTTGCATGACAGACAGATAAATAAGACATTTTCACAAGTTTTCTTGGTTAACGGTCGAAACTCCTGAATTGTTCGTATCAGGTTAATACCATTCTAATGATGTATAATACTTGATGGTTACTTTTGATATTGGTCATGAATATAGGCTTTGTTTATGAATGACCCCAAATTAGAAAATAATCTCAAAAACGACATTTCTAGAAATACAACTTAGAAACAAAATTTTGCATAACTAAGACTATTAAAACTCAAAAGGAAAGGAGATATGGTTTTACTACCCGAAAAATCTCCATCTAAAATATTTGCGGCACGCTTGAAGCTATTTTCCTAAGTACCAAAACTACAAATTTATAAATTTAAATGTGCAACAAAATAAAGCTTAGGAACTGAAAAGCGTTTTTCAATAACTTTAATCCTTGTTTAATTATTTTTAACTTCAAACAGCCCTAGAATTAACGAAACAACATCTTATTACCTGAAATTTGGTTATTACATCAATTTTAATGTCCTCTTCAAAAAAAAATATGCACCGAGAGTGTAATTCAAACCATTCCAAAAACAATTTCCAATTTTTTTTAAATTTGCCCCGAATTGGTGTCACGTTGGGAAATTTCCCATCAATTTCCCACTGCGATGGGAAATTTCCCATCGATTTCCCGTCGATTTCCCACCATGAAGTGAAATTTCCCGTCATGATGGGAAATTTTCCCACTACGGTGGGAAATCATAAATTTTTTTCCCGTTGTGTTATCTTCCCCTCGGCGAAGCCAAGAGATGTTTTTTTAGGTCAAGCAATTTTGGAACGATTTCTTGAAATTTGTAGGTTAAAAAATCCATCATCCTCCCCAGTCCTGTTATACAATATCTGACCACGGTTCTTTGACTCATCATTATCTCGGTTAAGTCTGAATCCTCTGACCCATGGCTTCGTGTCTACTGAGAAGGGTTCGAGTGCTAGAATCAAGGCGTGGAAACTCAAAATTATTCCTGAAAAATCCCAAAAACTCCCAAAAAAATCCCTGATCCAACAAAAATAAAAGTGTGAAACCATTTTTAAATCCCTGATGCATTTGATGAATAATTTCAGGATTTTAAAGGATTTCACGTTTTTATGTTTATTGGCTCAGGGATTTTTGTAAGATTTTTCTGGATTTCTTTAGGATTAATCCTGAGTTTCCACGCCTTGGCTAGAATATTTTTTTTAAATAAATTCTCAACTTTTTGAGGAGGGTCCTGAATTTTTTTTAAAAAATTCTTATTTTGAGGAAGCCATTGTACCCTTCCCTGACTGTAGTCTTGCCTTCTAAATTCATCCCATGATATCAGCATGCATTAAGTTTCAAATACTTAAAAAGAAAAGGAAATGAAAATTAATTCTTTTATTCAAAAATTCCACTAAAGACAAAATTCATTTCATCACATATTGTCGTGTTTTTTCAGCATGCCTAACTGTCTCAAATTGTTGTTGGTGGAATTTTTGTGTCTTCAAGATTTGCATTAAAGAGAATATTTTTTTTTTAACTTTTTTCGATTACAACACCAAGAATTGTCTAAAAATTCCATACAAAACTAGCAGAAAATTGAGCGATAAATGGATCGGCATGTGTAATGTGACTTATATTAAATGCGTGATTGTTGTCATCATCACATTCACAAATTACATTCTTTTATCTTATTTTCATTTGTCATTCACCAAAATTGTATTTTTTTTTTGTTTTGTTTTGTTCAATACGGAATTCATGAATAAATTTTGAGTAACAAGCGAAGAAGAAGAAGAAAAAAATGCGAGAAACTTCCGTGCGGTTTGGGGGTTGAATTTATCCTTAATGCTGAAAAGTGAGTTTAAGGGTTACTTAGAGGTTTTAATTGGCAATGAAGGAGATTTTGAGGTTGAAATTGTCATTAGTACTTAAATATTTAAACTTTCCGCACGGAAGTTCATCAAAATGAATTTATACTACAATTTTGCGATCAATATAATATAACCAACGTAACTATCACAAAACTCAAATTATCGGTAGAAAGTTAAGAAGAAGCGAATAATAACAATCAATGCTGTTACCGCGTGGAAGTTTACGACAAAAAAATAATTAAAACTGCAATAAAATCTTTAAATTCACCTTAAAACTGATCAAAAAACACACATTAGCTTTTGTCTAAAACTTCCACGTGGACCACATAAAGACCCTTTTCAAAACTTCCACCTGGAAGTTCAATAAGTCCCCCCACATATATAAAACTAAACAATCATTCGTAATAATTAAAGTTGCGCGCAATCGAACCAGAAGCACCGAAACCAGAGGAAATAGAACCAGTCGAGGAAGTCGGTCCGCAAAACACAAAAGCTGGCCAAGCTGCGTTACAAAAGAAAGACCCAAGTCCACCTGCTCCGTATCGATATTGCATGCCAACGCATGCCGTCTACACCCCTCCGAAACCAACGGCACGTATTTTTTTTAACAAAAAAACAAATTATTCAAAAAAAAAGTTTTGTTGCAAATTTAATAATATTGAAAAGTTTTTAAAAGCAAAGCAAAATGAATCAGATGAAAAAAAAATAATTTAGGCTGACGAAAATTATTTTAAAAGTGTTTTTTTTTTGCATTTTTGGTTGAAAAGCTTTAATTGCTTAATTTATCGCACATTTTTGTGGAATGTTTTAGAGATTTTGACTAGATTTGCATGATAATTTTGTCAATATTTGAATTATTGTTTGATTTCATTAAAATCGATTAGTTTTGTTTTATGATGATTTTGTAACTTAATTGTGATATTTTTAGATGTGTGAATCTTTAATAAGATTCGGTTAATTTAGATCATACTTATTAAGATAGTTAAAAGTATTCCGAACCTTCATTTATCCCTTGCTACGTCTGTAAAGCAGTGATGCATAACTGACGTGCCACGGTCCTCTATTGTGGCACGAAAAAAATTGTAAAATCCCACGAACCGTATGCTGTGAGCGGATTTGGTCAAGGCTTGACTACCAAGGTGTGCTGTGATGCAAAAAAGGTTATCTACCTTTGCTTTATAGGGAAATAATTTTTTAAACCGGTTCCTGATTATTGGAATCTAATTTTAAATATCTAGAGCGGTTTTCAGACTCACTTACTTTAAATCGTTGGACGTACAGATCAATTGTGATTCAAGGACTCTCTTAGATGGCCCGTAGATAATTGAAACGTTCTCATCTTAAATTAATTCAAATGTTGACAAAAACTGATTTGATAGTTTTAATAGAATTTGCATGCTTAATGGCGAACATAAAAAAGTTCAAATCTGATTTGAAATTCTCAAAAAAAACTAGACTTCATTAATTTCAAACAAATCTGTTATTTTATTAAATATTTTAGGTTAAAAAAACCTTTGGTACATCAACGAGTCCTTATTTTCGATATTGAATTTTTTTGGTACCTTATTTTCGAGCATAAGTTCAAATTTTTTTCACACGTTAAATTATTAATGTCTAATATCTTTAATTAATAGTTTAAATATTTGTTTTTCATCATCAAAATGTTAAACGAATCCACCCAAATGTAATGAATCATTACTGATTTACTAAACAATTAATGCAAGTGAATTAATAACATTTTTATTTCCAATGTAAACAACAACAAAAAAAAAATTTTAATTTTTGAAAATAGCATTTTAAACTAATGTTTGCTGCATTTATCACCAATTAAACGATTAAATTAGTGTTAAAAAACATAATAGAATGATTTAATTCCTAAATCATAAGTAAATTAAGCCAAAAATTGCGAAAAATTGAAATTTTCATGAAAAAAGTTTTTCGAAATAGCGAAATTTTGTTCGAAAAACATTCCAAACGAGTTTGAATTTATTTCGAATCAACGTTGACAACGTCTCTTGGCATATCATAGAAAAAAACTAATTTGAATCCTTAATTAAAAGAGAATTTGAAATTTATTTGAAAAATTGTTGATTATTTACAATTCATTTATGACGTCCAGGTGGGCTAGTCAGCAAGAAAGGAACAATAAAAATTCCTGGAAAATCTATTGTTCTTTGTTTGAGAAATATTAAAAATTTTTTTAAAATTAAAATTGGACGTCATAAGTGAACGACCCTTTATAGTTTGAAGATAATTAAAGGAATTATTTCAAAAAATGTTTTGAAGACTATTAATATTTATTAGCGTCACCTCTTTCTAGTTTTGAAGTTCAGCTTATAGCTTGCTTAGTAACTTGCAAATTAGATTTATTTTTGCTTTTGAAGTGTTCATTAATTTTTTTTAAACTTAATTTATTTTTTATTTTAATTTAATTTTGATTAATTTATTTTCTTATTTTACCTCCCGAATGAAATTTGGTATAAAATTATATAAATTCCAAAATTATCAATCAACTGATGATGATGATGATGAATATGTGACTATATTATTATCTATCTATCTATAAATATGTAAATGTATATGTTTTGTGTTTGATGTATAACAAAAAAATAATGTGTAACTCTATCAACATCCAAGCAAAAAAAGAAAACAAAGAAACCAACAACAAATAATTCTTACTGAGATCTTAACGTGGACACTTAGACACTCACAACTTTAGTTATTATTTATTATTAAATTTCTAATGATTGATTTTTAAAAAAGTTAAACGTAATGAGTAATTTGATCCAACTTACACCCAGATTAAAAGACCAAATTAGAGTCCTATTCTTGATTTTCTTAGCTAAGTCCAGATTGATCCTACCCAACCTTAGCTGCTTACCATAAGAATAAAAAAATAAAATAAACTTTAGCATTCAGACCTTAAGAACTATAGCTGAGCGTTATGTGCGTTCCATGGCTAATGATAGTTTAACGAGAGAGAGTTCGCTAGACCTCCCACTCAAACCTAGACCTACAGTTTTATAGTGGGATCCTAATCACTCTTTTGATTACATTTCTGCCTGTAGCCTACAAAGAAGGCAGCGAGCCTTATTTCCAGTACATATGATTCGAAAAAGGACAAGTGAAAAATTTTGCCACCGAGCTAATAGAGCTCTTTTGTACTATCTTAAGTCCCCTATGCTAGAATTCCAATATCCTTAATAAAGCCAATAATGTCCTGATAATCATACAACAGATCATCGATCGCAGTGTCTCTTTTTATATTAGCAAAACCCTACATTACAATAGAGCTCACAGTTGCTTACTATATTCCAGTTTAATTTATATGAACATAATTGCGTAGTTTAAATTTGAAATTGCCACAATTCTCTAAGACACACCCGGATGACCTGGAATATAGTTTAAAAGCCACAAGACTCTGACTAGGAGCACTGTAGTAATTTTTCAAGGAGATCAATTTTGACTCGAACCTTTATTTTTACTTGAGATACTGACAATTGATGCTTAAGTTTTCATTTAAGGATTCTAAGACAATAGTTGACCTATCCTGAAGAAATTTAAATTCTCAGACTTTTTATTAAATTCAGAGCTCGTGAGGAATTGAGCTGAAAGCAGGCGCGTAGCAAGGTGGGGGGGGGGGGGGATGACAAAGTCCCCTACGTTTAGAGAAATTTCTTTATTTTGCTAGGGTTTTTATGTAAAAATCCTTAAAATCCCCACTTTTTAATTGATTTCTTCAAATTTCTGGCTACGTACCTGGCTTATAGATTTACATAGAAATTGAAAAAAATCGTGATTATAGAAATTCAAGATCTTTAAACTCCTCACGAGCGCTGGTTAAATTTTAAACCTTTTTTACTGTGCATCATTGGCATTTTTGTTACCTTAAATTTCCTAAACTACCAAAAAAAAATTTTTGTATATTTTTTAAGTGTTTTTTTCGTCCTCACCACAGTAAAATTTTTGTTAATTGGATTATTTATCTGTCTCTGTCTCTCTTTATATCTCTATCTCACACACATTTGCAAGCAATAACTAATCAATGACTGTGTATAAACTTGATGTCATGCATAATTGCATGAGAAACTATAAAAATAATCTATATTTTTGTGCTCTGTCGATGTATTTTTCAGTGTTTTCATTTTTTTATGTATTGCAATTTTTTTCATTTTTTTTAAATTTTCTTTGTTGAAAAAAAATCAAGAAAAATGTTTTGTTGACAGACAAAAAAAAAACAGAAATTTTTGTGCTTGCTAAAGCTTAACTTGAAATATTTTTAAACAATTTATCGAGATTTTGCTTGAATTTTTAATCAGAAGAATGTGAAATATGAAAAAATTGGGTCACAAGCGACGGATAAAAACAAAAACAATAATAATGACAAGGTCAAGCGATGAAAAAGGAACAAAAAAATGATCCTAGGAGATTAAAATGACGTCGAACTTATACACAAACACAAACATATTCTATGGAAAAATGAAAAATCTAAATTCTAAAAAAAAATTCAATCCCCTTTTTTGTTTTATTTTTGGTTTAATTTTTTTTCGGATGTGAGATGAATGGAAATTGGGGGACAGGAAGGATTGCATTGAAATATTTTTGTGGATGAAAAATTCAGTTTGATGAAGGTTAAAGCTATATTTGAGGTTATGCTTTGGAATTTATTGAATATTGGAGTTTTAGATATTCCAAAAAATTAATGATTTAAGTTAAAGATTTTTTAAGATTTCGAATAATTTTAAAAAAACTCAAAAAAGGTTTTTAAAAATAGAAAAAAATTAAAAAATCCAAAATATTTTTGAAAAATTTTAAACCTAATTTTAAATATTAGAAAAAATTAAAAATCATTATGAAAAGTCAAAACCGTTTTTAAAAGTCCAAAACCACTATTAAAAAGTGAAAAATATTTTTAAAATCAAAAATATTTTTAAAAAAAACCAAATTATTATTTTTAAAGCTTAAAAACCAATTTTAAAATTTTTAATCAAATTGAAATAATTTTTCAAAGTATAAAACTATATTAAAAAGGTCAATAACAAGACAGATCTGCAATCCTCTTAACCCTTTTATTCCACATTTTTTCACACCTTAAACACAATATATTTTTGTATTTATTTCAATTTTTTTTTATTTTATCTTATTTCTCTTTAAATCTTTCAACATTTCTGCTAGTTTCAATTTTTAATTTAAAAATTTCTTATTTTCCTTTGTCACAGATAAAATGACACTTTTAGGCTAGGCCGCTTTTTTTAAATTTTTCTCTCTTTCTACTCAACTTTTTCTTAGTTTTGGAATCTTTTTTTTACATTTTAGTTTTTTTAATAACAAAACTTTTGTAATATTTTATTTTTGGAATCCCACAAAAACTAATCTGTCACTTTTTTCTTCTTTCCTGGCACGTCCCTCACCTGAAATTAAAATTATTCAAATATTAGGCATTCGCATGGTTCAGTGATTTACTTGTGGAACATGCTGAGATGTTCTGGTCTATGTTTGCTTGCGATATGGAACGAGTTTTGGCTGAGCAGCCTCCAGACACTTGGGATTCTTTTCCACTCTTTCAAGTGCTCAATGATTATCTTCGAACTGATGGTGAGTGATATTTGAATTTTTTCATAGTGAAAAGCATTGAAATTTTTGTAAACTGTGCCAAAAACTTTTAAGTTTGATCAATTGAGTAAGAAAACAATCAAAAGGTCGTCAATTGAGCCACAAAACATTCAAATTTCGGTCTATTGAGTCACAAAACATTCAAATTTCGGTCAATTGAGCCACAAAACATTCAAAATGTGATCAATTGAGTAGGAAAACATTCAAAACGTCGTCAATTGAGCCACAAAACATTCAAAATTTGGACAGTTGAACCACAAAACATTCAAATATTGGTCAATTGAGTCACAAAACATTCAGATTTTTGTCAATTGAGCCACAAATCATTCAAGTTTTGGTCAATTGAGCAACAAGACATTCAAAATGTGTTCAATTGAGCCACAAAACATTCAAATTTCGGTCAATTGAGCCACAAAACATTCAAAATGTGGTCAATTGAGTCACAAAACATTCAAATTTTTGTCAATTGAGCAAAAAAACATTCAAATTTCAGTCAATTGAGCAACAAATCATTCAAAATGTGAGCAATTGAGCTTCAAAACATTCAAAACTTGGTCGATTGAGCCACAAAACATTCAAAATGTGGACAGTTGAGCCACAAAACATTCAAAATTTAGTCAACTTGTGCAAAAAAAAATATTAAAATGTTTCCATTAATCCTTCCAGATAATCTCAAGAACGGACGATTTCACCATCAACTGCAAACAATCTTTGCTCCACTCGTGGTGCGCTACGTGGACCTGATGGAGTCATCAATCGCACAATCGATCCATAAAGGCTTCGAAAAGGAGAGGTGGGAGAGTAAAGGGTAAATTATCAAGGACATATAGATGTTTATTAACTTTGTGCCTCTTTTTCTACTTTCTCTCTCTCTCTCTTTCTCTCTCTAATTTTGCTAAATATTTTGTATCCTGTGTGTGCTCTGATCTCACTCTTGTGTGAATAAATTATGCTCCTGTATATCTCTATCTTTCTCTTCCTATAACTTGGTGGTGAATTTAACGTACAATTTATTTTATATAATCCAAAAAAAAATACTTATAAATATCGAAAATTATATATTTATTTATTTGTGTATAAATTATTCATATGCTATATGCTCCTTTTACATGTTTCCATATTACCATATATCGATTTATCTCCATCTCACTCACTCACTCACTTCCTGCTTATTTTGTTGATTATTTCTAACCTCAAAAAAACTCATAATTTGCTTATTTAAATTCCTGATCTGCCTCCTTACATGACATAACCTCATCTATGCTTAATATTCCATATTATCTCGATGTCAAATCATGAATGTCTAATTAAATATTCCAAAAATGATGCATTTTCGTGTACTTAACCCTCTAAATGTCCCCAAACCCCCCAAAAAAATTATTCAATTTTGCTCATTCTTGAATGTAATTTAATAAATTAATTTACATCCTCCAAAAAAACCCCAAATTAAAATTGATATGATCTAAATTTAATATCCATGCTGATGCTGCTCATTGCTACGCTATTTAAATGTGATGTAAACGTGAATGTTTTTTTAAATGAAAATGAAAATGGAATAATTAATTGATTTATATCTTCTTTTCAACGCTCTTTCTGTTTCTTTCTCTCTCTCTCACTCTCTTACTTGTTATATCTCTCTTTCTCTCTCTGTCTTGTCTTATGAATCCTTTAATGATATGATAATATGAATTTTTGGCGCGCGGATCATTCTGTTTTATTTTTGTTCAAATTTTGAATTATTTTGTTTTTTAAAATTCTGCAAATTCACGAAAATTCACTCAAAATTAAATCCCAACGTGTGTCTCACAAATACACATTACTACTCCTAACCTCCTTCCACAACTATACACTTAACCACAATACACCTTCCACACCTTATCTATTCTTTAAAAACTTACTAATAATAATATAGAAATGGCTGTGCAACATCAGAAGATCTCTTCTGGAAACTGGATGCCCTCCAATCATTCATTCGTGATCTTCACTGGCCAGATGCTGAATTTCGACAACATCTTGAACAACGGCTGAAGCTTATGGCCTGTGATATGATTGAGTCATGTCTTCAGCGAACTGAACAGTCGTTCCAACAGTGGCTCAAGAAATCTGTAACGTTTATATCGACGGATTATATTATAAGTACGGAAATGTGTGCCATGGTCAATGTGATACTCGATGCCAAAAATCAATCGTTTAAATTGTGTTCGGTTGATGGGATTGATGTGGTGAGTTATGATGAGGATTAATTTAGGGATTGCAGTTGTTGAGAGTTGAATTAGATTGAATCATTGTAGAGTTTTTTTAGATGATTTTGTGAATCTTATTTGAGAACGAAAGGTTGGAATCTTTAAGAGTTGAACTAGTTTTTCTTCTAATTTCTCTTAATTTGACTAAATTTGTGCTCTTTATTGCAATGTTTAACGGCGAATCATATTAATAACATAACAAAAGTTAAATTATTAAAGAAAATTGAACCAACTTAGCTCCAGATCGAAATGTTTGAATTTTTCTTCCACCTCGAAAAGTTTTGGCTCTTGCAAATCAACATAATACGCTTTTAAGATTATTCTTGCTATTTTTTGAATAGGAAAAAGTGGCAAGGATCAAATTCATTCAAAACGAACTAAACCTAACCCTCCTGGTGAAAAATAATGAACAAAATGACTAATGTTATGCAATAATATGCTAAACTAATTCCAAAAGTGCATAGTTATCTGAATGATATTATGAGACAGCAAGGAAACTCAAATGTTTTGATCAAAACTTCCTCAAAAGATTCACAAAGTATTCATTATTAAAAATTCATCTTTATATCAATATAGAGTAGACAATTTTCTAAATCTAGCAAAATTTCTCTTCCATTTGTGCTCTTTTTATGATTTTTCTTTGCCTACTTCTTCTTACTCTTTCTATTTTATGATTATTTTTCTTGATTATTTGTTTCTTCTTTCTACTGAATCAATAAAAAAATTCTCTTATCTCATTTCATTTATGAAATTCCTTGCATGATTTATTTTATTTTTTATTCTTCTCACAACACAAAAAAATTATCTGAAAAACATAAAAAAATTTCCTCGACTATGTTTTTATGCAAAACAATAACAAAACAACAACAACATAAAACAAATACAATACAAAAATACACGACTCTTCACTTCTTCTTCTTCTTCTTCTTCTTCTATCCACCTTTTTTCATTCTTTCCTTCGTTAAGCATCAATACCACTCAAAGATCGATGACCAAATCGATAAGGCACTTGCATCAATGACACAGGGTTTAATTAATAAGCTTGTGTCGGTTTTGGAGGGTGTTTTAGGCAAATTAGCACGCTACGATGAAGGTAGCTTGATTGGATCGCTGTTGAGTTTTACGGTAAGATTGATTTTTTTTTGGTTTAACTGATTTGATTTTGTTGGAACTTTTCTAGTTTATCTGAACTCTCCACCTAAAATTTGTCAAATTGTTTTGACTTAACCTCAAAATTTTGTTAGAGTTTAGGGTCCTAACCTCAAAATTGCTTAGATTTTCGTATCTTAACCTATAAATTTGTCAGTTTTTCGAGTCTTATCCTCAAAATTAATCAGACTTTTAATTCCTAACCTCAAAACTGGTCAGATTTTTGAGCTATAACCTCAAATTTTGTCATATTTCAAACACATAACCTCAATAAATGTGAATAACCTTCCTTAAAGTTCCAGTTAAATTAAATTTGCAAATCATTTTTCAACAAACTTTAAATCTCAAACTTAACCTCACAACATAACATAACTCATTCCAGAATGTTTCCGGCTCAGGAAAAGATCTAGGTCAGAGCTATGTGAACTTTACACGCAACAATATCGACTTAATCCGTGGCAAAATAAACGACGATTTGTGGATTTTGAATTTCTTCGAGCAATGGTATACAAAGACGATAACATTATTATGTAATTGGCTGTCCGAACGTCTGGATCATTCATTACACGTTTTTCAATGTTTATGTTTATCGCATATTGTTAAGGTGAGTAAATTATTGAAGTAGGTTGGGGATTAAGAAGGATTTGGGTTTATGTTGTGGATTTAAATGGCTGCCGGTATGTTGTTGGTGATTCAGATAGGATTATTGGGAATTAAAGGACACAACTGATCTGGTTTAAGAGTAAAACATGTCCAATAACTTTCAATTTCGATGTTAAAAATTGAATTTTATAAATTATATTTTTTTTTATTTAACAAAAATGACAACAACGAATGCAACAGATAAAGTTAAAATTTGATCCTTTTTCACTTTAAAAATTTATTTTTGAGACAAGACTTTGTCAAATTTCTTCTCAGCTTTCTCTTTCTCCACATAAGCTTTGATGATTTCGAGTAGCTTTTCAAATTGTGTTGACCATTTGTCTTTAAATTCAATTTTCGGATAACACCTCTCGACCTCTCCAAATGCCTTTTGTGTCAACTCTTCATGCCCGTACTTGTTGCTCCATTCGAGGATATTCAATGCATTATTTTGATCAATTTGATCGATGAGTTTAGTTGCTGCGAAATTCTTGAGTTCTTCAATCTTCAGCTTCCCAGCAGCTGCAAAAAGATGCAAAAAGTTCGTCCCATCGTCGCCTGGAAGTTCATCAGTGTAGAGAAATTTAAGAATTATCTCAAAAGTTTCAACAGAAATGTCGATTAAATTAAGATTTTCAACTTCAGGATTGGATTTAAATAATTCAGCCAGAGTTGGACTTCGAGCTGCAAGCAGGAACTTGTGGACTGGGAAATCTCTATCCTCGATTTGAATTGTGAAGTCTTTCGTGGTGTCATCTTTAATGAAGGCTTTAAGGTCAGCAATCGAGCCTTTATTAAGTTTAGATGTTAGTTCATCAATTTGATTTTGGAAGTTTAATGTCAATGTTGATTTTTCACTTTTTGAACATTCATATTTGGATCTAAGTCTGAGAATTTTTTCAAACAGTTTGTCTTTGGATTCCTTTATTGTTTGGACCTTTTGTTGCATTCTGAAGCAATAATCTTTGACTAAATTTGAATTTAACGAGAAAAACTTATCATGCAGTTCAACTTTGAGCTCTTCCAAGCTGATGTTTCCTTTCATTTGTGGCAAAGTTGAGAACCATTTGTTATAATTCATATTTTCTCGGAGATCAACAAACTTGAGCTTTCCAAGTCCATCTAATAGATTCGGTTCAATGATTTTCAAAAGATTACCATAAAATGAAATTGACTCCAAATTTTTGAAATCTTCAAACAAGTCGCCAGGCAAGAATTCAATTTGATTCAAAAAACATCGAAATTCCTTCAAATTTTTGTACTCAGCCAAATCACTTCTGCTTAAGTTCTTCAAATTTGATATTCGAATGTCAATTGTTGTTAAGTTTGGGAAGATTTTTGAGAGACCTTGAGGAACTTTTGTGATTTCACAATTGTGGAAGTAAACTGAAGTCACATCGTATTTTGAACGGCCAACTTCGTGCTTTCCGACAAACTTTAAGTCATAGTTTTCACAAATTTTCTGGTCTTTGACGCCGCAAACAAAATAAGTTTCATTGTCAATGTCTGATTTGCTGTCCTCGAACACGCAATGTACTTCCATAACGACTGAATTGAAATTGAGTTAAATTCGATTAAAAAGATTTAATAATTTGTTTGTAAAAATAAATTTTTTTTTAAAAAAGATGATTTTTTTAAATTAAAGTTTTTGAAAAATTAAAGTCTTGAAAAATTAAAATCTGGAAAAATTTAAATATTGAAAAATTAAAATCTTGAAAACTTAAAATCTTGAAAAATTAAAATCTTGAAAAATTAAAATCTTGAAAAATTAAAATCTTGAAAAATTAAAATCTTGAAAAATTAAAATCTTGAAAAATTAAAGTCTTGAAAAATTAAAATCTTGAAAAATTAAAATCTTGAAAAATTAAAATCTTGAAAAATGAAAATCTTGAAAAATTAAAATCTTGAAGAATTAAAATCTTGAAAAATTAAAATCTTGAAAAATTAAAATCTTGAAAAATTAAAATCTTGGAAAATGAAAATCTTAGAAAATTAAAATCTTAAATAATTAAAATCTTGAAAAATTAAAATTTTGAAAAATTAAAATCTTGAAAAATTAAAATCTTGAAAAATTAAAAAAATTTAAAAATATTAAATCTTACATTGTGCCATGAATCCTGCTCTTAAAATTCTTAAAAAATTTCTCAATTATTCCGTTCTATTTAAAGACACAAGGGCTTTTCCTCAATTTACTGTTAACAAAAGTTTTTTCAATAAGAATTTATTTTTAACTTTTTTTTCACTGTTTATTCAGATCACACGTTGTTGAAATCTTTATTGTCAATAAATTTTACCATGTGATTTTTGTTTTTCTTCTTTTTTTTACAATTTTCTATTGAATTGAGTGAAAATTGTTGAATTAATTCTCACAAATCTTTGACGAATCAACCAAATTTATGATTTTTTAACTCTTCTATGATTTGTCTAAATCTTAACAACACTTTAATGTGATCTTAAGCAGTATTTGTTTAACAAAACAACAACCAATCAATTTTATTTCTCAAATTCGTACGTCTTCTGTGTCTTAATCTGTTCCAACGAATGAGAATGGGTGAGTCACACAAAATGAGAGAATGGAAAGAGAAAAGATGAAAAAACGTGTTTTTTGATCGTTCAAGTCCAATGGAGAGTGAAGATGCTCAATGATAAATTTTTGATTGTGAAATTGTTCAACTTTTGTTTACAAAATATTGAAAAACACGTGATTTTAAGACACCGAGGTGATTTAGAACTGTTTAGTAACCTAATGTCTTGATATTTTTGGTAATGTTTTTTTGAATGTTACTTACTTACTTCGCTGGCCGTACAGATCAATTGTGATCCATGACCTCATTTAGTCGTCCCCTAAAACCAGCTCTATCACTAGCCAGTGTCTGCAAATTGCCTCTTTCCATGAGTTATTTGGCCTTCCACTTGATCTCTTTCCATTTAAAAAATCGTATTTGAAGACTTTATTTGATGGAGCATCAACAGATATTCTAATGTGTTCAGTCCATCGAAACCTATTTGGCCATGGGTCCAGTTTCTAGGGCTATCAGGAGCACCCTTCTCTAGTCTCGCTATTCTGCCTGCAAACTCCTATAAACATCCCGAGTTTTAAGATTTAAGTTTAAGTTTTAAGTAATTTGACAAAAAAAAAATAAAAATCAATAGTTAATTAATGTAGAAGTTTGACTTCACATCTCCCCCCCCCCCCCCCCCCCCCCCCTTCACCCTGACTACTCATTTAGAACAGAATGATACCACATAATGTCATCTATAAAGTTGCAGATCTTCAAACCCAAATATTCCAAACTTAATTTGCATTAAAACTCTATCAACTTAATAATTTACACTCTTATCAGTTATTTTGCTTATCATTAATTTTGTAAATAAAATTACATTTTGATAAGACTTGCTTGATATTAAGCAATAACTATTTACAAGCTTTATAATCACATCAAATAGATAAAAATTTATGACTCATTATTAGATGAAGTCAACAACATACTCATCAAAAATCTTCCTGAAAAAGGTTTCGAATACTTGAAATTCATCATCAATTCGTGTCTGAAACTCAACCACTTCCCCAAAGTTTGGAAACATGCAAAAGTGATTCCTATTCCAAAACCTGGAAAACCAGCAAATGAGCTAAGCAGCTACAGGCCAATAAGTCTACTCAGCTCAATAAGCAAAATACTGGAGAGAGTATTACTGAATAGAATCAACGATCATCTTGAGGATAACAACATCATCCCAAACCAGCAGTGCGGCTTCCGGACTGGAAGATCAACATCTCACCAGCTCATCAAAGTGATCAAATCAGCAAAAGAAAACTTAAACAACAAAAAGTCAACAGGCATGATCTTCCTGGATGTAGAAAAAGCATTTGACAGAGTCTGGCATAACGGACTCTTGTACAAAATGCTCAAACTGAGATTTCCACTGCCACTTATAAAAACTGTAAGATCTTTCCTCAGTGAAAGATCTTTCGCAGTTTTTATTAAAGGTCAGTTCTCAGAAATCAAGGTAATCAAATTCGGAGTGCCACAAGGAGCAGTGCTTTCACCAACTCTCTACAACATCTTCACGTATGATGTTGTAAGAGAGACAACCAACAACATCGGTCTTTTCGCAGATGATACAGCACTGTATCATTCTGCAGAGAACTCGGCCGATATTGTGACACATCTACAGCACACAGGAAGAAAAGTTCAACGATACATGAACAAATGGAAGATCAACCTCAACAAACAGAAGACTCAAGCCTTATTCATCACAAACAGGCACTCCAGGCAACTACCAGGAAATAACATCAAATTTCTCAACGAAAACATCAAATGGGAAACAGAAGCTAAATATCTGGGAATGGTGATCGACAAGAGAGTGACATTAAAGCCGCATGTGGAGTATGTGACCAATAGGGCTCACACCGCATTAAGACAGCTTTATCCGCTCATCAGCAGGAACTCACAACTCGACGTACGAAACAAACTTCTCATCTACAAGCTAGCCATCAGACCAATATTCACATATGGTTGTCCAGCGTTTGGAAGCATGGCAAAAACCCATCTTCAAAAACTTCAAGTACTGCAAAACAAATTCTTGAGAATTGTTCTCAATAAAACAAGATATGAAAGGATCACCGATCTTCATACAGAAGCGAAAATACCGTCCATCGAAGACTACGTCGGAAAGTTGCAAGCGAACTTCAACAGTCGTCTTGCATCTCAAAACACCGAATAAATCAAATGAAATACAAAAGAAAGTAAAATCCGTAAATGAAATCAAAATTAAGAGACAAAAGGCAAATTGAATGCCTGAAACCTTAAAACAAAAAGCAACAAAATGTATAGAAACTTTGTACATACTTAAATTTAAATGTAAATAAATAAAAAGTTTAATTTAAAAAAAAAAAAAAAAAAAAAAAATATGACTCAATATAATGTGATAGCATTATGATGAATAAGCAACTGGTTTCTACTTAATTCCGCTTTATTCATCAGAAAACTATTATTTATGAAATATGGTTTTAGATTAGGAGCTATAAGCTACGCATGAGAGATCGTTAATTATTGATGAACATCAAAAATTTAGATTTTTTTGGATTGTTTTTAAATGTATTTTGAATTAAAATCACACAAGGCGACGTGATCTATCCTAAAATTAAATTAGAATGATTTATATAATAGTTCTTTTGATACTCAGTGGCATGAGCTAAGATATAAGATAGAGAGGGGAATAAAAAAATTGTATGGAAAAATATAGGAGTTGCGGGTGTACGTTCGGGTTTTTTTTATTAAAAACCTAGGAAAATTAAGAGTTTTCTCTTGACTAAGGATTTCTCTTGTCCTCGAAATACTCCCCCCCCCCCCCTTTGGCTACAGACCAGCTACTTTTCCTGGCTACACGCCTGATCAGTGACACAAAATGTACCACCCAAGCTGCATGCCTCCGAAATGGGCATTTTTCTTTGTTCTTCCGCACAGTCAATTTTATTGTCAATCAGGATTACAAGGTTTTGGGGTTTTATTGCATTTGAGTGAATCTTTTACATTATTAATTATTATGATGCGTTTTTATCAAGCAGTGTTGTCATCTGCCAGTTCTATATCGTCAGGCGCCCTGTGACGCAACTCTGGTCTCAAGATTGATTAAAACTTTGTGTTGCTTGAACTGCAAATTGTTCTTTGATTTCCTCCATTTTTAAATATGTCTCAGGATAGAAAACTCTGTTGATTTCTTCAATATTTGAACTGACAATTCACAAAGTGCTTAATCCCTGCAACTCGTTATCTTATCATCAAGACATCTGATAAGACTGTCAACATTAAAATTTATGTTTGTTTCTCTCAGTCGTGCAGATAGTTTTGAAGTTCAATGTCGTGATTCTTAGTTTTTTTTTGCATTTTTTTACTTCAGTCGACTAAGATTTTAATTAATTAAGCAATTATGGAGATCCAATGCCAGTTCGAGAACTCAATAACAATTGACGCAAGAACATTTTACACGTGCTACGTTGAAGATCAAACAATTCCCGAAAATGTTAATTTAAAATTTGTTGGTCGACATGACTTCAGGAAGTCAAACAGCACAGTTGCTAGAATTTGGTTCCTCAACTGTAAAATGACGAAATTCCCGCAAGGACTGTCAAGAATATTTCCAAATTTAAAAGCAATTGTGATTCTACACACAAATCTTCAAACAATATCCAAAGATGACATTGCAGAATATAAAAATTTGGAACGGTTTTCAATCGGACGAAGTGAAATTGAAATTCTTCTTGGAAATTTGTTTGAGGATTTTAATAATTTAGAAGAAATTGGATTTTGTAATAATAAATTGAGAATAATTGAGCCAAATATTTTGGACGAACTTGATAAGCTGAATTATGTGAATTTTAGAGACAATCCGAATTACGACAAATGTTACTCAATTTACAATGATTGCACAAATGCGACTCTCGAAGAAGTCAAAAATGATTTGTCTGAAAAATTTGCTGAATTTGTTAAAATTAAATGTTAAAAAAAATTCAAAAATTTTTTATAATCAATAAAATATTATATTTTTTGAATAAATTAAACTTTATTTGTGGATTGGGATGAACGAGAAGAAGGGTTAGATAGGAAACTAATAGGATACTAGACATTAACACTTTAAACCAGGAAAAAGGCTCCATTAAAGCTTGAAATATAATTGACACTCTGGGCAGTGTTGGTCAATCTTTTTTGTACCTCAGCACACATTAGTGTTAAGTCATGACTGAAACTGCACACTACATACGGTTCTTCGGACTTCTCAATTTTTATCTCGGCACATGGGTCGGCCATTGCTGATCGCTAAAACTATCTGTAGCTACATTACCCCCGGTAGCAATGGCAGCTCTAGAAACCAATTTTTGATTTTTTAATATTTAATTTTTTCATTCTTTGCTTGATTTTTTTTTAGAAAATTTACTCCGATTTTGAGCTCCAAGGTGTGATGGAAGACAAACTGAATTCAAAGGCATATCAGACAGTTGCTCAGCGCATGCAAGCTGAAGAAGCTACTTGTGCATTGACCATGCCTAGTGAGGATGGTGAAGATGAGTGAGTATAATTCATTAGATTAAGTTACAACCTATAAGGAGGTTATGATTGGATGAATCTTTAAGACTTATTAAGGTTCCAATGATTTATAGACTTTCAAACCTTAGAATCTGGCTTTTAAGTTAATAACTAATCATTTACACGACTCTATGGTAGACAGGCAGCGTATTGAAAGCTTCAATCTAGTTAAATACTAAAACTGACTTCATGCTAGCCTCACTATAGCCTTGCGCTGTGTTCTCCGTCTTTTTAAACTTAGCTTCACATTTAGTTTTACAGTTCTTATAGAGCAGTGTTGTCCAGTGAAAATTTTTGTAAATGACTTGAACTGCATGCTATGTTTGACTTTGGTAATGGCTTACCCTTAAGGTGTGGCGTGGCTCAAAAAACTTTGGACAACACTGTTTTAGAGCAACTTTAGTTTAGAGTCCTCTATAGCAGTGGTGTCCAACCTTTTTGTGTCATCAGACACTTGATGGTAAGCCATGACCAAAACCGCACACACCATACGGTTCGTAGGATTTCTCGAATTTGCCTCGCGGCACACGGGTTGGTCATCACTGCTTTATAGTATTCCTAAAAATCCAAAAATAAAACCTTGAGTTGTAGCTTCAAAAAGAAGAAACTTCAAATTAACAAATTTAAAATCAACAATTCTGACAACTTAACCGTTATTTTAGGTTTGCTGACGGTGATGATGACGACGGAGCAGTATCAGTAGCAGCGAGTAAGTCCTCAAAGCACTTACCAGTATTAGAAAAACTTGGTGATGAAGATGGCAATATTAACATTGGCAGTGTGACAAACGCTGTCAAAGGAAAGGTCGGAAATCTTTTGGGAAAAGGAATTGGTGGCATTGGCATGGGTGGATTAAACAAATTAGGTGGAAGTTGGTTCTAAAAACTCTCTCTTTTTTTGCTCCTCTAAATGTTAATTTTTTTTCTTCTCTATTTAAAATCTTGTCGAAATATAAACAAACAAAAAAAAATCTTCAAAGTTTTTCCTAGCAAAAAAAGTGTAAACAAAAAAAATATTTTTCCATAAAAAAAAGTTTTTTCTGCTAAATATTTAAATAAAATTGAATTTTTGCCCAAAAATTGAAGAATATAAAACAGATGAAATAGTAAAAATTAATGATGACAAACAAAAAATATTTAAAAACTGTTATGAGAATTTAAAAATCAATCAAATTAATGAAATAGGATAGAAATGGTGGGTTTGTGTTACAGCGTGGAAGTTTGTTTTAATCTTCATTATCTTGGGCCTTAAATTTAGATTTTTGGAAAAATTCAATTATAAATTAAACCTATTCAAACTCAAATTGAATTAATTCTTTAAAAAAGGTTCAGACCTAATACAGCATGGAAGTTTCTAACATCTCATTCCATAAATTAATTCAAACTTGAACTAATAATCACCAAAATTTTAATATCTTCTATTAAACAGCTCTTCAACTTTATTAATAACAAAGAAAAATAAAAAATTCTTCAAAAAAAACTTCCACGCTGAAAACATAAAACACTTTTATAAGATTATTTAATTTCAATTCAATGCAAATTAAGTTAAATAAAATCATTAATTTTCAACTTACTGAAATTCACAAAATCTTAAAATTTCGACAAAAACATTTTATTTTAACCACAAAAATTTAAAAAATTCCCAAATGCTCATCTCATTGTTGACTAATATGACGAGACAGAATTGTTTGTCAAACTTCATTATAAATTGTAAATAATACAAATTAACCCTCAATCACTTAACCATCTACGCTTGAACAACCTTAAAAAATCATAAACATTTAAAAAAAATAAAAATTAAGCTTCACGCGTGGAAGTTCAATAATAATTTTTATCATTGACAGCTTAACTTTCATTTTCCTTGAAGAATAAGTTGCAAAAAGTGCGAAAGTTTCAAAAAAAAATTGAAAACTTCTGCACTGCGAACAGCAGATTGTATGGAAAAGCTCAAAGTGATATCTGAGCTGAGTTGTAAATTAATAAGAATTAAAATAAACAAAATAACAATAACGGGACCTAAAAGAATCTTAGAAAAAATGTTTATAATTTTGATGAATATAATTTTTTAATTGTAGTAGTGAATCAAATATTTTAGGGGAATGTGTTGAGAATTCAAGGAAAATGGAGGTTAAATTGGCATTTTTGTAAGTTTTTCTTCGGTTTCTGGTAGGATTACTAAATTTTTATAAATAAATTTTGGTTTTTAAAAGATTTTAGGGTTAGATCTTTGAATTTTAAATCTTAAGTGTCAAGTTTTAAATAATTTAAATCGAATTTCATAATTTAATTTTTTTTTGTTTTCTGAAATAATTTTGAATGTAAAATTTATTATTTTCAGGATTTCTAGGAAGAATTTTATGTTTTTGGTGCCATCCCTGCTTATTTTAATACTTATTTACTGTTTTAAATGAATTTCATATTTTAAATTTTTATAAATTGAAGAAATATAAAATTTATTAAAATTTAAAGGTTATGTCTTCTTTTTCTTCTCAATTTGCCACAAAATTTCATTCCTAAGTCTTCTAAATTCTTATTAAGTCACAATTCAAATGAATTACTTCAAAATAAAATCATTAAAATCAAAAAAGAAAATTTCTCATCTTGAAAAGTTTTATTGAGATTGTTTTGCACGAAATTTGATGCACCAAATGCGGTTTTCTGTGCCTGTGCTTGTGAATTATGATGAGAAATTTTTTGATAATTTTCATAAAACTCGTCACGCTTAAATGTCGAATCTAAAACATTTTCTGATTGTTAACAAAATTTCTCTTTAAAAAAAGTTCCGAATAAAAAAAATCTGTTTTTTTGTGGTTATTTTTCCCTTATTAAGGACGTCCTCATGTAACTGCTATTGCTATATACATAAACACAACAAAAAAATATTTATAAATATATTTACATAAAAATTGATAATAATTCAAATATATAAAGTCTATATATACTTAATTATTGAACATTTATTGAACCAATATCCATTGTACACGTGGAAGTTCAAAAATATAATAAAAAAAGTTTGTTTGTAATTTTTTCATTTTTCTTTTTAATTTATTTCCTCTCAAAATAAATCTAATCTAAAATATTGTATTATTATTAAATTATATTATAAAAATAAGGTAGCGAATGAGAAAAAGATTATCAAATTTGAGCTTTTTTGATGAGAGCGCCCCAAAAATACACAGTTACACTAATACAGACAAACATTAATAAACTTAATTATTATTATTATTAAATTAATAAATAAAAAATAAGAAAGAATTAAACAAAAATTGTTGAAAATCGTAAGATAGAAAAAATGAAATATTAACAGATGGAAATGTAATAGAGTAAATTAATAAATAAAAATAGTAGGTTATGAATGGGAATTAACACTGGAGTAAATAGAAACAAATAAAAAGTTCTGAAAAATTTAAAAAAAATTTTTTACTTTAGTATTTTTATAAAATTATTTTTTTAAAATGTTGTTCTGTTTTTAAAATGAAAAAGAAATTAAACACGTTTTTTTATATTTCAAACATAGAATGTTAACAAACATTTTTAAAAATTTGAATCTTTATTTATTTGTTTTTAAATATTTATAACTTCATTTTTAAAAATTCAATTTTTAATCAAACTGAAAATCTTAAGTTTTAAAGCATTTTGAAATTTTAATGATTTAAAATTAATTTTTAAAATTTTTGCAAACTAAACTAAGAAATAAAATTTTATTGAATTTAATTTTAATAAAACTGAAAATTGTAACAATTAAGTTTTGATATTTTTAAAAAATATTAATTAAATTTGACAAACAATAATAAAATTGACAATTTAAGTTATCAAAAATGTCCAATTTTTTTTGTAATAAAACAATCAGCTTTCAAAAATGTGTGAAAATATAAAATAGTAGAGCAAATGAGTATGAAAATAAAAATATATCATTGTGAATGAATAATAAAAAACCAGTAGAATGAAAATGGATGAAAAAATTTAAAAAATAATATAAATCAACATATTTTCATGACAAAAAAAGCTTTAAAATATTTAACTACAAAAAAAAATTATTCTAATAAACAAACAAATTAATATTATTGAAATAAAATATTATATTAACGCATAATTGCTATTGTCGACTATCGCATCGTTAAATTGGATTCTATTGAGATTATGACTAACGTGCTTGCGCGTGGAAGCTCTTGAATTATCTTAAGTCATTAAAACTTAGGAAACTTTAATTTTAAAAACTTGATTGAAAAATATGAGATAAAGTTTTGGTTTTTGATTGTTGGAGATTTAAAATAAATCGGCATTTCTGTAGATTTAATAGGCAGTGCTACAATGGCTCCACAGTAATGTCTAGCGTAGCAATGAATTTGAGGGCAATTTTTTCATAAAAACCCCGCAAATTGAAGCAATTTCTGTTTAAAGAAGATCTGTCCAAACAAGTCCCCTCCCTGGCTATGCGCCTGATACCACATATTAATCAATTCAATCAAGTTCATTTTTTCGGTCGGCAATCAGTGAGTTACTCACTTCAACAGCTGCACATTCCTACAAAATTATAGCTTAAAAATCAAATCTCATTGTAAAGATTCTCTCATAAATTTCATCATTTTTTGTGACAAATAATGCGAATAATTGCAATTTAATTTAATTTAATTCTTTTTCTAAAAGCTCTTTTCCTCCTTCAATCTTAAAAACGTTTCAAAAATCGATTCCTTTCGAAAAAAATTGTTTTTGGACATAAAAAGACAAAAAAATAATATTTAATAAATTAAAGTAAAAAAAATCACACAAATAAAGGAATAAAACAAAAAATGTAAAGCACGAGCATGCGAGCTCATTTAGAGATCAAATAAAAAAAGTATATAAAAAAATTGAAATAAATTAAAACAAAAAAAGAAAGTTATTTATCATTAAATTTAAACAAAAAGTAAATAAATTAAAAAAAAGTTGTGAACAAAAAAACAAGAAATTAAAAAAAATTTCAATAAAAAGTAACACACGTTTGTTATGCATTAATGATTATGAAAATAAATTAAAATTTTGATGTGTTTTTTTAAAAAGATTTTATTGAATTTATTTCCAGATTGCTCCATCCAAGTGGCAGATTGCAAAGGAAATTCTAAGTAAGGAGACCACAGATAGCCTGTAAATAATATTTTGTTTACTTAATTTGTTGATTTTTCAACCAGTTATCTCCTGGCTTTGACACTACTTCGGTTGATTCACTGATAACCAGGCGCATAAATTAAATAAATTGGAGTTCATCGAACCAAATATTTTGGACGGACTCGACAAGTTGAAAAATATCAATTTTAAAAATAACCCAGCTTATACAAAATGTTATTCATTATTATCAGGATGTCAGTCAAATGCGACATTTCAAGAAGTTAAGGACGAGCTGTTTTTAAGATATTATCGAGATCATAATAAAATTGAAAATTTTTTCAAATTAAGGGATGGCAATCAGGTGTTGAAGCATACAATCAACCAAGCAAATAGAGAAGTTGACAATTTGAAACATAAAAATAACGATTTGAATGAAGAAAATCAAAACTTACGGAATGAAAACCTCAAAATTAAAGAATCTGTGCAAAAAAATCAAAAATCAGTTGAATCGGACATAAAAATCTTCCTCGAAACTGACGAGACTTACAAGGACTTTAAGATTTTCATCGACGATCGAGAGTTTCCAGTCCACAAGTTTTTGCTTGCAGCTCGAAGTCCAACCTTGGCTGAAATCCTTAAAACCAACCCTGAAGTTGAAAATTTAAATCTTATCGATATTTCTGTGGAAACTTTTGAAATAATTCTTAAATTTCTCTACACTGATGAACTTCCAGGCGACAATGGGACGAACTTTTTGCAGCTGTTGGGAAGCTGAAGATTGAGGAGCTAAAGAATCATGCAGCTATGATGCTAATTGAACGAATTGATGATGATAATGCATTAAATATCCTCAAGATGAGCAACAAGTATGAACATGCAGAACTAAGATTAAGTGCTTTTAATAAATTTAAAGCATGTCACCCAAAAATTGAATTTAAAGACGAATGGGCTGAAGATGTCGACATGTTGATTAAAATTCTTGATGCATTTAACATGAAAGAGGAAGCGATCAGAAAAGCTGAAGAAGAATTTAAGAAACTGGTCACAACATTCTAAATTTCTGCTTACTAAAGACCACAAGAATTTGCAAATTTAATTTCAATGAATTAAACTCACAGATGAATGAATTAAAACTTAATTGTTAAAAAATTTTATACATCCGCATTTATAAAACATTTAAAATTGTTAAAAAGCAGTTATTAAAAAATATAAAAAAAATAATTTGTTGAACTTTTGGACTTGTTCATTGCTGTAATGGAGATTTTAGCTTTAATTATTGTTCTTTACAGCACAATTTACAGCATTGAGTGTGCTAAAACTTACAGATTTGTGTCAATTGAAACCTGTAAGACTGACAATGAATTGATTGTGGCTTTTAAAAAATGTGAAATTGATGGAATGTATTTAACATTTATTACTGAAGTTAAATCACCAATTACTAAATTAGTTGTGAGTTTTAATAATTTTCCTAGTATTAGGTTTAGTCATTTTGGATAGATTTATGGCAAGACATGCAGTTGGGGTAAATGGCGACTTGCTATATTCTTTGAAATCTTAGGGGCCACTCTTAGGGAGGTTCACTTATTACGTAACGCGAAAAAGCGACGTTTTAGACCCCCACACCCCCTCCCTCCTCGTAACAAAATTTGTATGAAAAAAAATTCTTTTGTTTGAACCGTAACAAAATCTTAGACCCCCCCTAAAAGCGTTACGTAATAAGTGAACGGCTAGAATTATTTTTAGGTTAAATTGGGAGTCGTTTAAGCACCAGGTCTTGGTCCTTTCGTCTAAGAAGTCCTTCTTGACCTTCCTTAGTTTCAGATGCCTGTGCATCGGCCTAAGTTGCCATTAGAAAAAAAATACATTTAATATGATTTAACCTCATTCGTCAATGGGTTTGGTCCAAATTCCCATTGGAAACCATTGACATTTCCCCAGCGATTATTTTCCTAGTTGCTACTTTTGCCCAGCGCTATGTTCGCCCATCATTTATTTCCCAGATTATTTATTTTCCCAGTTGTTACATTTGCCCGCTACGCTTCTGCTCATTTCTTTAAAAAAATTTATTTTGAACCTTTTTACAATTCCAGATGAGCACCCAAATGAGCATAATACAAAATGACAAAAAAACCGTCCTCAAAGAGTCAATAGCTTCATTCAATTGGTGTGCATTGTTTGGTAAAAATGGAAAAATTCCAAAATCACCAGGATGGAAAGTTGTGATGAAAGGTTTTGGAAAATATTTTAAGGAATACATGACATGTCCAATTATCAAGAATATTGAACTTAATCGAATTCATGGAGATCCAAAAATGATGCTTTTTGTGCCGAATTTAAAAGCTCAATTTCAATTGGCGATCAATGCTTATAGCGTCAATGGATTGAAGGAATTTGGGAATATATCATTTACTGCTGAAGTTCTTGATTAGTTGAGGATGTAAAAAGTTGTAGTTTTTTAAGGACAATTAATAAAAAGATGGCGATTTTTAAATTTTTATATTATTTTGAATGGTTGGTTGTAAACCTCACCATCCCTAGCCTGAATGTGGGGCTACTATCCTCCAGGCGAGGTTGTTTGGAAAGTATTTTAATTCCATCATTTTAAGTACTTAAGGGCTTGGTTGCGGGCAGTTAATTTAGCGGTATCAAAGGATACCACGAGAAGGTAAGCACTTGACATGTGGTCAACTTCGGAGGTAGACTTCAGCTTTCCCAATCCCTCCTTCAGCTTTCCCAATCCCTCCTTCGGCTTTCCCAATCCCTCAATAGATGAAAATTTTAATTTCACAATTAAATTTATTCAATTAATGATCATTTTATCGGATTTTGATTAACGAATCTTCAAAAATTTTTTAACGGCTTTTTTCAATTCGAATTTCTTTACCACTAAAGATCAACTGGTGATCCCCTTGTTATTGTTTGGCTATCGGTTAGAATAAAAGAATTTTAAATTTCTATAAATTCACAAAAAAACTTATTTTATAAAGCAATTTTAATACTCATCTGTAAATAAACAGCATTTGCGAAATATTTGTGAACCAATTCCTCAAAATTTAACAAAATTTACCGTAAATTAAAGACACAATCTTCAAAAACAATGAAAATTCAGTGCATTTTTGAGGACAACATATTTTTGTGTGGCAAAAACTTCTTCACTTGCGTGGTCAGTAAACAAATAATTCTCGAAAAAAATGAAATAAGGCTGACTGGATGTAATGGCTATCAAGAAATAATAAATGAGGAAGTTAGAGCTGTCGTGTTTAAAGACTGTCAAATTACAAAAGTTCCACAAGGACTCACAAAAATCTTTCCAAACTTGAAAATCTTGAGCATCTGGAGATCGAATTTGAAGACCGTGACTAAGACTGACTTGATTGAGTACCGGAACATTGAAAGGATTGGATTCTGCAATAATTTAATTGAATATTTTCCTGGTGACTTGTTTGAAGGCTTCAGGAACTTGAATGAAATTGGAATGTTTGGAAATAAGCTAAAAATCATAGAACCGAATGTACTGGAGGGTCTGGACAAGCTAGAGCATGTTGACTTTAGGGACAATGACAAGTACACAAAATGTTACTCAAAACTTGCAACTTATCAGTCAAATGCGACTCTGGATGATGTTAAAAATGAGATTTTCGTGCGTTACTATAAAGACCATAAAAACATTGACAAAATACTCAAATCTGGAGATGAAAATAAAGTTTTAAGGAACTCCAACGATTTCTTGACACAACGAGTACAAAGACTGGAAAATGAGATTCGAGACTTGAGGCAAAAGTTGGACAGGTCGGAAAAAATTCAAAAAATACTCAATTTACAGAAAAAACTTGATGGGATCAATTTAGCTAGTCCAGATGTCAAGAAGCAGAAGTCACCTCTTAAAGTCCCAACAAACATTATCACAGACCTCAAAAACCTCCTTCAAACCGATGAAATCTTTAAAGACCTCAAAGTTGTGATCGACGGGAGAGAATTTCCAGTCCATAAAATCCTCATCGCTGCTCGAAGTCCAACTCTGGCTGAAATACTCAGAAACAACCCTGAAGTTGAAAATTTAAATTTAATCGACATTTCTGTGGACATTTTTGAGATAATTCTTAAATTTCTCTACACTGATGAACTTCCAGGCGACGATGGGACGAACTTTTTACATCTTTTTGCAGCTGCTGGAAAACTGAAGATTGAGGAACTCAAAAAATACTCAGGAACTCAGCTAATCAATCAAGTTGATGGCAATAATGCATTGGATATCCTTAAAATGAGCAACAAATATCAACAAATGGAGCTAAAACACAAATCATTCGATGTGCTTAAAAAGGAATATCCAAAGATAGTATTTGAAGACGAATGGGCAACGGACATTGAAAAAGTAATCAAAATTATTGAAGCATTTAAGATGAAAGAGGAGTTGATTAATAAAGCTGAGAAAGAATTCCAAGATTTAATGTCAAAAAGTAAAGATTAAGGATGACTTGAACCTGATTCCGTTTTTTAAGTTTGCAACATAATTGTAATTTTTTTAAATTTTTTATATGAATTATACAAAAAATGGATTGTTTTTTTAATAAAATTTTTAAAAAATAAACATTTTTTTTTCAAATGGACAAATTGGTTTATCAAAAAAAAAATCATAGGCGCCCTGAATTGAACCCAGACGGTCAAATGATAAAGTCCGAACCTCAAACTGCTTCTTTCCTGCTTTACAATCATCGTTCCAATGTTCAAACATCCTTTTCTGGAGAATGACTAATGGCAAGATAACAACAATGAATCAGCTTATTCTAAACTATACAAAGAACAATTCTGTAACGGCTTTTTGAAATTCAAATAATTCAGCTTCAAATGATCAACTGAGGATCCATTTTCTATTGTTTGGTTATCAGCTAGGAAGAAACTATTATTGACTTTTTCGAAAGATAACAAAGAAGATCATTCAAGGAAGTGAGTTTGGCATTAATAGACAGCATTAGCTTAATTCTAAGTGATTTTAAGAATAATTTTGTGAAAATGGACATTGACGTTGAGCTGGAAAACCTAACATTCATAAATGGAGTCAAATATTACACCTGCACAATCAGTGAACAAGTTATTCCACAGAATACCGAATTAAACCTGATCAGAGTTCATGATTTTGAATACTTTCCAGATTCTCATGTCGGTGCTGTCATCATAAGAGATTGTGAAGTCACAAAAGTCCCACAAGGACTCATGAAAATCTTTCCAAACTTGAAAATTCTGCACATTGTGAGATCAAAACTTAAAGTCGTGACTAAACATGATCTTGTTGAGTACAGACAACTTGAGAATCTTGGATTCATGCAAAATTCGATCGAATTCTTTCCAGCTGACTTGTTTGAAGGCTTTGAGAACTTGAAAATAATTCGAATGAATGGAAATGGCATTAAAGTTCTTGAACCGAATATTCTAGATGCACTGGATAAGTTGGAAGTTGTTGACTTTAGGGACGGCATGAAATACACAAACTGCTTCTCGATACATCAATTTCATCGAGGTTTTGGAGACCTGGATGATGTCAAGAATGAGATTTTTGTGCGTTACTACAAAGATTATAAAAATGTTGAGAATTTCTTCAAGTTTGGGGATGGCTTGACATACGAGGAACTGAAGAGTTCGAATGAAATTTTAACACAACGATTGAAAAGACAAAAGCATGAGATCCAGGACTTGAAGCAGAAGCTTGACAGGTGTGAAAAAGTTCAAAAGATATTCAGCATTCAGAAGAAGCTCGATGACAACAAAATAATCACAAAGGAACCAGAATCATCAAATAAAATGCCTATAAAAGTTGTCACAGACATCGCGAACTTCCTGTATGGTGATGAAACTTTTAAAGACCTCAAAATTGAAATCGAAAGTCATAAATTTTCAGTCCATAAGATCGTAGTGGCAGCTCGAAGTCCAACTCTGGCTGAATTACTGAAAGCCAACCCTGAAGCCAGCAATTTGAAGCTAGTTGACATTTCTGTGGAAACGTTTGAGAAGATTCTTAAGTTTCTGTACACGGAGGAGCTTCCAAGAGACGATGGGACGAACTTTTTACATCTTTTTGCGGCCTCTGGGAAGCTGAAGATTGATGAACTTCGGGAATATGCAGGAACTAAGCTGGTCAACATGATTAATAAGGAAAATGCAGTTGAAGTATTCAAATTGAGCAGCACATACGGAGGCTTTAGTTTAAGGCAAAAATCATACGAAATTATTAAAAATATTTATTCAGAAATTTCATTTGAGGATAAATGGTTTAAGGATCCTGAGTTTGTGTTGGGAGTTGTTCAAGCTTTTCATGCTCGGGAGGATGCAATTAAGAAAGCTAATGAGGATTTTGATAAGTTTATTGAATATGGCAGAACTAAAATGTGACAACTTAATTAATTTTTTTATTTATTTCTGAGATTTTTGATAATTTTTAAAATATTTCTAAATTTATTAAGGGTTGTTCATAAATGACGTATAGCAAAAAGCAGGATTTTTTCATTTTTTCCTTCAATCTTGTAACAAAAGTTTTATAAAGTTGGTTTAAACTAAGACAAAACTCAAGACGAATACCCCTAAATGTTTGACGTCATTTAAGAACGGTCCTCAACTTTTTATTATGTTATAATTTTATATTCATTAAAAACTTTCAACATTTAATTTTTACTATTTTACTTATGATGAAATTTGTCACACAAAAATGACTAAACTATAGTCTTTTGTTTATAAATGATGAATAAATTAATATCAAGGTTGTCAAAATAGAATCAAGGAAGTGAACATGATTATTTACTCTTTATAGCTACGCATTTAATGTTTCGTCTGTGGCTTATCGATCACTGAGCAACATTTTTGAGATATTTAAAAATCTCGATCGTTAGTAAAATTATTCACATTCCCCTTGTTTACAGACATAAAGCAGCTTAGTCACCGGTATTTTTAATTTTTTGTTTTGATCAGTTTCTTTTAGAGAATATGACAATTGGGAGCAATTGATAAGGGTTTGTGAGCTTATTCATTGGTGTGTTTTCATCTCGTAAACTCAACTACGTTGCAGTTTACTTTAAAGGTAATTATAATATAGCTTTTGAAGTATAATAAGTCCAACAAGTGCTCATTGCATATCAAAATTTAAAACTTGAACTTTTATTCGAAAGCCTGTGGATCCTCAGTTTATTATTCAAGATTCATATCCAATAAAAACAATATTTTAAACCTAACTTAACATTTACGACTGTGGCACAAGTCGATTAATCGATTAGAAATCAGGCACCAAGCCATTGTGACTCTCGCATGGTGCTGGATTTAAATTAAAGCCAGCATCATGTCAGACTTATCATTGCTGGAACAGAAACACAAGTTTGTTACACCGTCCTTGGTTGAAATCCGTAAGAGAAAACACGTCCAGTTGCTCCAAAAGCTACTTAGCGCAGAACAGTGATGAAGGAATGTCAGCTTAATGTGCGGACAAAAAAAAATTATACAAACTAGGTGACCGAGCCAGCAACAGAGTCAGATTGAAAGCCTTTTATTGTAACCTAAGTTCCACATAGGGAATCAGAGTCATGTCAGCTTTTTAGGAATATGCGATTCCATATAATAGCCAGTCAACGATAGATCATGTGATGTAAGGGAACAGTAAAAAAGAGTGTAACTTACATATGAGATTTAGTCATGCAGTTGTCTAACCTCCGATAACTCAGTGGTAGGAACATGCGACCGGAAATCGTAGGGCGTGGGTTCGAGATCCGTTTAGGATCCGTTTTTCGGAGTTATACTTTTTTCTGCGGTTTTGTCATCTAGAAGTTTGCTTCTTCCTTCTAGATGTTTCAATAAGCTTGGCACTTAATTTCTATTCGATTATCCGACTTGTGTATTTTGTGTCTATCTTTGTTTTCACCGTAATAGCTTTAAAAGTGGACATAATGAAGATAAGAGGAACTTACTTAGATGCCAACCTATCATCAGGCAAGAGACTCTATAGTTTTTGGACTAGCGACCATCACATCCCAGAAGATCATGAATATAAATTTATTGGAGAGCAAACTGACGGAAAATCAAATACTGACGTCCATGAAGTTATGTTTAATACGTGCATAATGACAAAAGTTCCACAAGGACTCACAAAAACGTTCCCTAACCTCAAAATGCTTATTATTTATAACTCAAAATTGAAGAAGATCTGCAAAAATGATTTGGTTGAGTATAAAAATTTGGAGAATTTTACTTGCTCGGGAAATGAGATTGAATATCTGCCTGGTGACTTGTTTGAGGATTTTAATAATTTGAGAATTATTGACTTTTCAAAAAATAAATTGACTGTCATACATCCAAATCTATTGAATGGAACCATTTTGTTATACACGGTAAATTTTCGTGGAAATCCAAATTTTGATAAATGTTTCTCGATCTATCCAGTTACTGATAAAAATGCATCTCTTGAAGAAATAAGGCTCGATTTGCACAAAAAATACTGCTCGAGACCAAATCAACAATTCGAAGCGAATAATCAGAACAAGAATCAAGCTAGATTAAGCTTAACTGATGATATTAAAAATTTCTTAGCTGATGAGACCACAAAGGACTTCAAGATCAACATCAACGACCGTGAATTTCCAGTCCATAAATTCTTGCTCTCAGCTAGAAGTCCAACTCTGGCTGAATTACTGAAAAACAACCCTGAAGTTGAAAATCTTAATTTAGTTGACATTTCTGTGGAAACTTTTGAGATAATTCATAAATTTCTCTACACTGATGGACTTCCTGGCGACTATGGGACGAACTTTTTGCATCTTTTTGCAGCTGCAGGGAAGCTCAAGATCCAGGAACTTAAGAACTACGCAGCAAATAAGCTGATTGATCAGATCAACCAGGACAATGTGATCGACATCCTCAATGTAAGCAAAAACTATGAGCATGAAGAATTGAGGACAAAAGCATTTAAAGTAGTCAAGAAAAAGTACCCAAAAGTTGAATTTAAGGATGAATGGGCAGCAGATCCAGAAAAATTGATTAAAATAATTGAAATCATCAAGCAGCGAGAAGAAGCTGACAGAAAATTGGAAGAAGAATTTAAAAAATTAGGGACATGATAAAAATGATTTAAAATAAAAATGTTGTTTTGACAAAGAATAAAATATTATTTTTAAACTATTTGAGAGACATTGACTTAGGGGCCATTCACTTATGACGTCCAGGGGGGGGGGGTCAGCAAGAACAATAGAAATTCCTGGAAATTCTTTTATGAAAAATGACCGTTAAATTCGGACGGCATAAGTGAACGACTTCTTATCTTATCATACTAGAATGGAGTTTGATAAGTTTTGATTCCTTTTCAGTTATTAATTAGTACAGCAAAGAGGCATTTTCTACTCTCATCGGCAGGTATTTCGAGAAATGGTTGTAATCATAACCCACCTCGTTGCATAAATTTCTAGCCATACTCCTGTCTTTAACCGTGGCATTTGTTTACTGAACCCTGAATTTACAAAGTTAAAGATCTCCTGCATTGGCCAATAAGCATTCATTTTATCTATTAACAGTATCATTAATTAAAAAATTAACCAAATATAGTAAACACTACTCAATAGATCCTTTTGACTCTTAGTGTCTTTAGCTCGAAAAGGCTGAGCCTTATGCCTTATACCAATAGATCCTGATTCTTCAAATTCAATAATTCAACAATTATTGTTCAAAGTTTATTCAAAATTCCAGATCAAATGCAAAGGATTCAAATCGTAAAATTCAGCAACTTGAGCTTCAAACAGGACTTTTTGGTGACCTCAAAAATTTCTTTAAAGATGAAACCACTGAAGATTTTAAAATCACTATCGAAAGGCTGCAAATTCCAAGTTCATAAATTCTTCCTCGTAGCTCGAAGTCCAACTCTGGCTGAAATGATAAAAGCTAATCATGAAGCTACAATTTTGAATTTAAATGACATTCCAATAGAAATTTTTGAGATAATTCTTAAATTTCTCTACACTGATGAACTTCCTGGCAATGACTGGATGAACTTTTCACATTTTGTAGCTGCTGATGGAAAAGTAAAGATTCAAGAACTGATTGACATTGCAGCAGCTAAGCTCATTGAAATGTAAAACTTAGAGAATGTTTTAAATTAAGCTTCAAGTATGAAAATGAAGAACTGACTAAAAAGGCATTAAAATAAATTTAAAATAAGTTTCCAGGAGGCAAATTCACAGATGATTCTCTTAAATTTAATAAATTAATTTATTTTGATTTTAATAAATTTGCTAAGCTCTTAAAATCACATTAAATTTATTTATTCTTCCCAAGGCGTGGAAACTCAGGATTAATCCTGAAAAATCCAAAAAATCCTTAAAAAATCCCTGAGCCAATAAACATGAAAACGTGAAATCCCTTCTAAATCCCGAAGTTATTCATCAAATGCATTAGGGCTTTAAAAGGGATTTCACATTTCCATGTTTATTAGCTCAGGGATTTTTTAAAATTTTTCAGGATTAATCCTGAGTTTCCACGCCATGATTCTTCCTAATTTTCAATAGATTTTCCAATTAACAATAAGTATCCTCAAGAAGGAAGTCAGGGGTCCAGACCTTCCTGGCTACGCGCCTCATTTTAAAGTTTATCAAATAATCGACAATCCCTTCAATTTGTGGAAAAATAAACAAATCGACAAAAAGTGTCTTCAAATTAAAATTGAAATTAAAAATGTTGAAATAAATGCAAATTATAGAAAAGATAGCGACACCAAATAAATTTTAATCTGATAAGTTCCTACGGATCTATTTTTGGATCAACTTATCTTATCAATCATGAGCGGTCTTCGATAAACTTTGGCATCAATCATTTGCTGAGTTATTTGCAGTTGTTATTTACCAAAAGCAAGCCTGTGGTAAGTTTTTAAGTGTTAATTTAATTAAAAGTGAGGAAAATAATAGAAGAGGGGGAAAGGATCAGCTTCATAACAAAAAAATCTTACTTTTTGTGAAGTATTTAAATATCTTAATCTAAATAATGATAAAATAATTAATATTTTTTCAAAAACAGACTAGAAATGGAGCTTCCGTGTACCTATAGACATTGTTCCTTTATCGATAAATCAGTTTATACATGCAAATTCTTTAAACAAGACATTCCCGAGAATGGTCAAATTATGCCGAAAGGATTACATCAACTTTATCAACAAGGCAATAAATTAAATAACAAAAATATTTTTGCTGTAATATTTATTGAGTGTAACATCACAAAAGTACCGCGGGGACTGAAAAAATTGTTTCCAAGAATGAAAATTTTAAGTATTTGTAGTTCGACATTAAAAGTTGTGACAAAAGCAGACTTAATTGAATATAAGAACATTGAAAGAATTGGATTTTGTGACAATCAAATTGAATTTTTGCCTGGGAACCTGTTTGAAGGGTTTACAAACTTAGAAGAAGTTTCATTTAATGGAAATAAGTTAAAGCTCATCGAACCGAACATTTTGGATAGTCTACAGTATTTAAAAACTGTTAACTTTAATGATAATCCAGGTTACAAAAAATGTTTTTCATCAATTAAGGGTTTTGAATCGAATGCGACACTCGATGAAGTCAAAGACGAGCTTTTTGTTAAATTTTATAGAGATTTTATGAAAATTAATGATTTTCTTAAAATTGAAGATGAAAATCAGGATTTAAAGAAGAAAAATCAATCGCTGAATGTTGAAAATTTAATATTGAAAGAAAACAGTTTATCTTACCAAAGCCGTTATTTAAAATGCTTAAATGAGATCCAGCGTTTAAAAGATCAACTCAAAAAACGGGGACAAGATTATTCACAAATTAATCAATCTGATATCAAAACATTCCTTGAGACTGATGAGACCTTTAGAGACTTCAGTATCCAAATTGGCAATCGAGAATTTCCAGTACACAAGTTCTTGCTCGCAGCACGAAGTCCAACTTTGGCTGAACTACTGAAAAACAACCCTGAAGTTGAAAATCTAAAATTGGTTGACATTTCTATGGAAACTTTTGAGATAATTCTTAAATTTCTCTACACTGATGAACTTCCAGGCGAAGCTGGGACGAACTTTTTGCATCTTTTTGCAGCTGCAGGGAAGCTGAAGATCCAGGAACTTAAGAATTATGCAGCAATTAAGCTGATTGATCAAACAAACGAGGACAATGTGATCGACATCCTAAATGTAAGCAAAAAATATGAGCATGAAGAATTGAGGACAAAAGCATTTAAAGTAGTCAAGAAAAAGTACCCAAAAATTGAATTTAAGGATGAATGGGCAGCAAATCCAGAAAAATTGATTAAAATTATTGAAATCATCAAAAAAAAAGAAGAAGCTGTCAGAAAAATCGAAGAAGCATTTAAAGAATTGGGAAAAAAATAAAATTAAATTCGAACAATTTTTAAATAAGTTTTTAGCCTTTGTGTGATATTTTAGCAACATTTTCAACTGCGCATTTTTGAGCGGGTCAGTTCCACTTAAAATCTTTACTGAATCGCTTTTTTGAACTTATTTTTCTTGGAAAATGCTTTAAAATTTGATTTATCCCGTTTTTTCAGAGCTGAATTCGGGGAATGTCTTGCTTTTTGATCAAAAATCGGGCAAAGTCAATGAAATAGCCAATTTTTAATCCACAAGAAATATTCAAAATCTTTTTTAATGGACGGAATAATTTTTTGGGAGGGTTTCCGATTTTTTTTTTGTCTAAAAACCTTAGCAAATTGATGAAAGTTTTCCAAATAGGGTATCAAATCTTTGGACTCCCAATCCCTCCCCCCCCCCCCTTGGCTACACCCCTGATAACCTTAGTCTCACCAGTGAGTATAGAAAGGACATCACTTTCACATCCATATGGTCAACTGATCAATGATGATTCTCTGAATAAATTCTCTATTAAAAAAAAACCTTTGTTTAAAATTTTAACTATTAAAGTTTTAATTCTGATTAATAATGAATTTAACTAAAATCAGCAAAATTATCAAACGGTTTTTGAAAAGTTTAATTTTTTCTTCTTGTTAATTCACAATTTACAGTCCCCTTGTAAATAATTAATCATCGGTACTTTAAGTCTTTAATTCACAAAATAAGCTTTTGATTTAAAAAAGTAAAAATAAAGCCATAAAAATTTTAAAATAAAAGTATTAAAAGTTTTATCTTTAAAACCAAAATAAATCACTAAAATAAAAGGAATGCTGGACTTGTGAATACAAAGGTAAATTAGGATTTAAAATTGGAAATTAAATTAAATTTTATCATTTTGGGGGTCATTCACTTAGTACGTAACGCTTTTAATGGGGGTTTAAAGGGAGGGGGGGGGGGATTCTTAGATATTTTTACAAGGGGGAAGGAGGGTCTAAAAAGCGCTACGTAATAAATGAACGGTCCATAACGGTCTTTTTTTTAAAAAAAAAAATGGAATTCCAATTGGTTCAATTGCTTATAACCTATTGAACGCTCCCCCCCCCCCCTCCCTCATCTTCCATGTTATCCGGAATAAGTAAACGGCTCCTTACTGATTTCATTCAAGAGGTTGATTTTGAAACTGATTGTAATCCTTTTAGTCATTAACCAGATTGTAGGAGTTTATCAATATATTTTTATATTCACACCGTTTTCACATGTGAATCTATTGGTTTTGTTCAGATTGAAAAATCAGTTTTTTGAATTTTGTGAGGATATGGAGCAAGATAGCTTGAAATGTTCAGGAATGAAAAGTTTGTGCCTTGAATTTCACATCTTTTGCAAAAAACAGATTTCAAATTGGTTGGGGCATTGCTGAGAAAATCGCAAAATATGCTTTATGTAAGCAATCAAGCAAGCAAACAAGCAAGTTAATCAGCAAGAAATCTCAATAACGAGACATTGTAGAGACTTCTGGTTTTTTACATTTGATCCGTGCTGCTCTATAGAAGAGCTGTATTGTTTTTAGGCAAGGTAGGAACAGCCGTTGCTTCGGAAAAAGCAAAAATTTTTCAAATTAACAACAAGTTAACATGGACAAGTCTAGTCAAAATCTAGTTTTTCACTTTTTTTTTCTTTGAGGATAAATCCAAATACAGTAAAACTTTGTATGAGCATTCTAATTTTCAGGTCACACATTTCTAGGGTTACCATCTAATTTTCATGAAAATACAGGACTTTTGGTAAATTTTTTCGAAAAAAACAGGACACAGAGTAAAATTCGAAAATTAACGGAAATTTTCGTGAAAAAAATACAGGACCTGGAACAAAGTTTTCAAATTTATACAGGACAGGGTTTTGAAATACAGGTCTGTCCGTTGTAAAACTACGCAGATGGTCACCCTACACATTTCTGAATTAATAAAAATCATTTTTTTGGACAAAATTATAAGTCACATTGTTTTTGAATGTACAACCAAATTTATAAAATTTGGGTCTGACGACATATAGAATTCATTTCTTGCTTTAGATATTTAAAACTGTTTTGTATAAATATTAGTATACTCACACAAAGTTTCACTGTAATTGGATAAACCTTCGAAGAAAAAAGTGAAAAACTAGATTTTGACTAGGGTCGCCCCTAGTGCAAAATTGAAAATGTATTTCCTAGTTGGTTCTTTGCTCAAAAAAAATTTTGGATGTTTTATTTGAATTGACATAATTCTGACATAAATCACACACCAATAGTACTTTTTGTAATGCATACATAGCTTAAAAAAAATCGAAATCTAAAATTTCGACTACCCCATCTGAATTTTGTTTATACTCTTCACTGTGGAAACCAAAAACCAAATTCTTTATCTTAAAACACTTGACAAAATAGCGACATAATTCAGGATTAATTACTTTTTAATAATATTCTAACATTTACTAGAAAATGTGGTTCAAATAAGTGTGAAGTATGGCCGAGATTTGAACCAAAATCAGCTATACTTGTTCATGTAGCTGACATAATTGTGACATAAATTAGGTATAACTTTTGAACTGTGTCGATATGGGTCTCGGCCGTACTTCACGCCCACCCTTCAAACTTATGCTGAGCAAATCTTGGTCTATCCATAAGACTTTTGATGGTACGGTGTGAATATTTCCGCATTGGGTTTCTACCCGATACACAAGTTTATCTAACAATTGGCTCGTCCTTTTAGTAAGATCAAGTCCGTTACTAAGTCCTATCAAGATTATTGTCCTATGGCCGGCTTCTACAGCTACCCATGACACACTATTCCCCTTTATCCTTATTTTATAAGTTTTGGCTAATGATTCTTACTTCTCTTCCATTTAAAGAATCATGTTCAAGTTCTACACAGTTTACTCTAAATGTACTTTCGGTATACATCCGTCGAGGATTGATCAATGTTATGGCTGTCGTGTCACAGATCAAGAAATACCCGAAAATCAAGATTGTAAAATTTCTGGACAACATGAAAGTGGAATGTCAAACAATGACGTAATAAGCGTGCATTTTGAAAATTGTACAATCACGAAAGTTCCACAAGGACTTATTAAAATCTTCCCAAATTTGAGAATTTTGGATATTTGGAATTCAAAATTATCGAAAATCTGTAAAAATGATTTAATTGATTATGTAAATTTGAAGAAATTAAGATGTGAATTTAACAACTTGGAATTCCTGACTGGCGATTTGTTTGAAGGTTTTGAGAGATTGGAATTTATTAGTTTTAATAACAACAAGTTGAGCATCATTGAGCCATGCATTTTGGATGGTCTTAAAAATTTAAAGTATGTTGATTTTAGAGATAATCCAAATTATTCTCAATTCTACTCAATTTATCCTGAAAATCATCCAAATTCGACACTCGATGGAGTCAAAATTGAAATTGCTGAAAAGTTCTTCAAAAAATTCAAATTTTTTCAAGATTTAAAAACCTCCGAAGACAATTTGAAGAAAGAAAATCAGGAACTTAAGGATTCAAAGTTGAAACTTGAAGCTGAATTGGAACAAGAAAAGTTTAAAAATTTCAAATTAGTCAGCAGATTTGAAACTGGAATTATTGATGATGTCAAAGCATTCATCGAAGATGAAACCACAAAAGACTTCCAGATCACAATTGACAGCCATGAATTCCCAGTTCACAAATTTCTGATTGCCGCTAGAAGTCCAACTCTGGCTGAAATACTAAAAAACAACCCTGAAGTTGAAAATCTTAATCTTGTCGACATTTCCGTAGAAACTTTTGAGATAATTCATAACTTTCTCTACACTGATGAACTTCCAGGCGACGATGGGACGAACTATTTACATCTTTTTGCAGCTGCTGGCAAGCTGAAGATTGAGTAGCTGAAGAATCATGCAGCAATGATGCTAATTGATAATATTGATGAAAATAATGCATTGGATATCCTCAAGTTGAGCAATAAATATGAACATCTAGCATTGAGGCAAGAGGCATTTGAAGAAATCAAGAAAAAATATACAAAAGTACAGTTCAAGGATGAATGGGCAGCTGACACTGTAAAATTGGAAAAAGCAATTGACATAATAAAGCAACGAGAGGAAGCCGACCGAAAAATGAAGGAGGAATTTGACACTCGATGGAGTCAAAATTGAAATTGCTGAAAAGTTCTTCAAAAAATTCAAATTTTTTCAAGATTTAAAAACCTCCGAAGACAATTTGAAGAAAGAAAATCAGGAACTTAAGGATTCAAAGTTGAAACTTGAAGCTGAATTGGAACAAGAAAAGTTTAAAAATTTCAAATTAGTCAGCAGATTTGAAACTGGAATTATTGATGATGTCAAAGCATTCATCGAAGATGAAACCACAAAAGACTTCCAGATCACAATTGACAGCCATGAATTCCCAGTTCACAAATTTCTGATTGCCGCTAGAAGTCCAACTCTGGCTGAAATACTAAAAAACAACCCTGAAGTTGAAAATCTTAATCTTGTCGACATTTCCGTAGAAACTTTTGAGATAATTCATAACTTTCTCTACACTGATGAACTTCCAGGCGACGATGGGACGAACTATTTACATCTTTTTGCAGCTGCTGGCAAGCTGAAGATTGAGTAGCTGAAGAATCATGCAGCAATGATGCTAATTGATAATATTGATGAAAATAATGCATTGGATATCCTCAAGTTGAGCAATAAATATGAACATCTAGCATTGAGGCAAGAGGCATTTGAAGAAATCAAGAAAAAATATACAAAAGTACAGTTCAAGGATGAATGGGCAGCTGACACTGTAAAATTGGAAAAAGCAATTGACATAATAAAGCAACGAGAGGAAGCCGACCGAAAAATGAAGGAGGAATTTGACAAATTAATGAACTAATGTTAAAAATTAAAAAGGAGGCTGTGGATCGTGTGACTGAATTTAGCCGGCATGGATCTTTATTAATCTTCAGCTTTGTCCATGGATGAAGAAAAATAATGAATAAATTCAATTCAATCTGTAAAGCCAGCGATGTATGTATGGATATAATGTTAAAAGTTCAAATAAAATCAAAATATGCACATTTTAATTTAATTCAATTTAATCAAAAATCCTGAAGAATCCGAAAATTCTAAAAAAAAAATCCATTAGCTAATATAAATAAAAATGTAAAATCTCTTTCAAATCCTGAAATTATTCATCAAATGCATCAGCGATTTTATAGAATTTTAGGGTTTTTTTTAAGATTAATCATGAGTTTCCACGTCTTGCTTAAGACATTTCAACCCAAAATCTCTTCTGTGACATCATTTATGATTTTCTTAAGAACTAAAGCATTGATTAGTCAGTTAATAATTATCTTATCGGTCTCAAGTTCGACAAATGATAAGGCAAGATCCTTAAGTTACGGCATAATAATTTAAAAAGGAATTAAAGCCTTCATTCAAGACGAAACTATAAAATTTTCATCAGTTCCTGTGAATTTAAAGTCCATGAATTCCTCCGTGCCATTCAAAGCCCAACTCTGGCTGCATTACTAGTCTCAAAAGCTACCCGGAGCACTCTTCCATAGACTTTGGAACTTGATTCTGTGTTTGTAAAATTATACACATTACTCCTGTGACTCCCGTTCTATTTGTGGATCAAATTATCTTATCGTACATGAAAGCTGTTTGATAAAGGTTTAGCTTACTTTCTGAGTCATGTCCAGTTGATATTTGCAATAGAAAAGAAGCTTAAAAATCACCGTCTGTGGTATGTTTTTTTAAATAAAATTACAAATAATATATTTATTTACTTTACTTCGCTGGCCGTGCAGATCAATTGTGATTTATGACCTCCCTTCAGGCGCGTGGCCAGGAGGGCCTTGTCCCCCCTTAAACATTTTGAACCACAGCGAGAGCACTGCCTAAAACGCTTATGAGAGGCACAATACCCTCCTGGCTACGCGCTTATTAGAATAATTTAAAATATTCGAAAAAAATTACTTTTCATATTAAAATTGTGGCTTGAAAAAAAAATGAAAAATTAATTGGATTTTACCCAGGCTCGGTAAATTTGCGGTATTTTAAAGACGGTATTTCATATGAAGATGCGGTATGGATGTTGGGGGTATTTTGCGATATCCTTCTTAGTTTCCCAGCCTAGGATTTTACTTACTTCATTCTGGGGTGCACTTTTGAACAATGCCGCGTTTAGAGATTGTCTAAAGACAGCTCAAACCTTCTATCAGTTCGGGAGATTGAAGACTCTCGCGCCCTAATGAACTCATCATATCTTGATATTTTTTGGTCTTTTTATCTTTTTAAACTGAGACAAAGAAAGTCGGAACACTGGTAAGCTGTTGTGCCTCAGATTTCATCCAAAATGACACAAATTTAAACACAAAAGCAACTTTAATCAACAAATGGGTACAAGTGACAGTACAGTGACCTCTCTGACAGGCGCGTAGCCAGAGAGGACAATTTGGAACTTGAATCTATTTGTTAATCGGAACCAACATTTTAGCGCATTTTTGAAACTTGTTTCTAAAAGGTAGCTTAATAATACACTTTGTTCGGCTGTTTGGCTGTTCGGGGCAAAAAAAACTTTTTAACCAGACATCGTAGAGAGCTCGGGTTTGTTTTATTAGCTCAGTTCTATCGAGTTATTGGCCGGCCGAACAGTTAAAAATCTTAAAACAGTGATTTTATACTTTAATTAATGATTTCTTTTATTTCATATGAAAAACACGTGATGGGTGCGTTTAGAAAATTGAATTATTTTATACCGTTGTAAAAATTGTAATCGGGGTGCGTTCAGAAACTCGATTTTTTAACCGGTAAAAAATTTGAATTCCAAAAGACCGTTAAATGATAAATGTTTGTTAATTTCACTAAAATTAATGATCTTCTATCTTCTAATGATCTGTAAATTAACGCAAAATAATTCGATAATTCCCTGCCCTCCCATCACCCCACTTCCCCGCCTTCCTCGCCTCCCCAACAAACGTAGATTAATGAGAGCTGATAGAAGGCAAGGGACGGGGTCCAAAAACAAAGTCAGCTTTTATATTGTTTATGTTATAAATTGTGTGACTCAATTACTTTTGTTTGCCCTTAAACAGGATTGATTAACATAAAACAATGCAAATTCAATGTACTTATGATGAAGTAACTCATTCCAATAAGAAATTTTACCGCTGCACAGTCACACGTGAATTAATTCCAACAAACAAGGAATTAAAATTTATTGGCCAGCATGGAGATGGAATGACAAATCAGCACGTACGTTATTTAAATTTTAGTGATTGCAGAGTTGCAAAAGTTCCACAAGGACTTACTAAAATCTTTCCAAATTTAAAAGTTTTGAGCATTTTAAATTCAAAATTAAAGAAAATCAGCAAAAATGATTTGTGTGAGTACAAAAATTTGACAGAGTTGATGTGCTCAAATAATGAAATTGAATTCTTGCCTAACAACTTGTTTGAAAACAATAAAAATTTAGAAGTTATTGATTTCTCTGGCAATCAGTTGCGAGTTATTGGACCAAAAATTTTTAATGGACTTGAAAAGTTAAATCATGTGGATTTTAGTCTAAATCCAAACTATAAAAAGCTCTCAAATGCTGAAACATATTATTACAATGCCACGCTTGATGAGATCAAAACTGATCTTTGCTTGAAATATAAACAAAATATAGAACTTTATGCTGATTATATGTATTTAGAGAATCCACAATCAACTTACAAACTTCAAAGATTAATCACTGATGACTTCCAAGCCTTCATCCAAGACGATTCCACCAAAGACTTCAAGATCATCATTAGCGACCAAGAATTTCCAGTTCACAAGTTCCTGCTTGCAGCTCGAAGTCCAACTCTAGCTGAATTGCTGAAAAACAACCCTGAAGTTGAAAATTTAAATTTAATCGACATTTCGGTGGAAATTTTTGAGAAAATCCTTAAATTTCTCTACACTGATGAACTTCCAGGCGACGACGGGACGAACTTTTTGCTCCTTTTTGTAGCTGCTGGGAAACTGAAGATCCAGGAACTCCAAAATTTTGCAGCTGTAAAGATTATTCAACAAATTGATGAGAACAATGCATTGGACATCCTCAAATTAGGCAATAAATATGATCACGAAGAGATGCGATTTAGAGCATTTGAAGAAGTCAAGAAGAAGTATCCAAATGTTGGTTTTAAAGCTGAACTTGCTACTGATATGGACAGCATTGATAAACTTATTGAAGCTGTTAAACGCAAGGAAGAAATTGAAAGGGAAATTGAGAAAATGTTTTGTAAATTTTAGGCTGGTTTGTTGAGAAATTGTCAATATAAAAAATACAGAAGTCCTTGTGTTATTGAATGAGGGACTTAAGCGCATTTTTGTAGCGATCAGTATTTGATTATCTGTTTATTTTGCGTTCATTTACAGATCATTAGAAGATTAGAAGATCATTGACTTTAGTGAAATTAACAAATATTTATCATTTAACGGTCTTTTGGAATTCAAATTTTTTATCGGTTAAAAAAATCAAATTCCTAATCGCACCCCGATACAATTTTTTTACAACGGTAAAAAATAATTCAATTTTCTAAACGCACCCATCACGTGTTTTTCATATGAAATAAAAAATCATTAATTAAAGTATAAATTCATTGTTTTAAGACTTTTAAATGTTCGATCAGCCAATAACTCGATAGAACTGAGCTAATAAATCAAACCCGAGCTCTCTTCGATGTCTGGTTAAAAAGTTTTTCTTGCCCCGAACAGCCGAACAGCCGAACAAAGTGTATTATTAAGCTACCTTTTAGAAACAAGTTTCAAAAATGCGCTAAAATGTTGGTTCCGATTAACAAATAGATTCAAGTTCTAAATTCCCCTCTCTGGCTACGCGCCTGTCAGGGGAAGTCACTGTACTGTCACTTGTACCCATTTGTTGATTAAAGTTGCTTTTGTGTTTAAATTTGTGTCATTTTGGATCATTGCTGATACACAGCAGCTCACCAGTGTTCTGACTGTCCTAGCCACAGCTTAAAAAGTAAAAAAAAAAACATCTTAATTTTAGGATTTTGTCCTTTTAATACAGTGTTGTTCAATCTTTTTTGAGCCACGGCACACCTTAAGAGTAAGCCATTATCAAAGTCACACACGGCTTGCAGCTCGCGTCATTTACAAAAAACTTCTACGACACGCCAGTGTGCCGCGGCTCACAATTTGGACAACACTGTTTTAATACCTGAAGAAGCTTCAAAAAACTTGACTTTTTATTGAATAAATATAAGTTTCTGAATTTTCAGGTACAAACTTTTGTATTATATAAGTTGATGCACTATTGTCCTTGACACATAGTTCCTATTTAGTAATAGAATTGTGGCAATGGAATTAAAATGCCTTTTTGATGAGTATAAATATAGAAGAGAGCAATACTATCGCTGCTTAGTTAAAGATCAAGAAATTCCAGAGAATTGCGTTGATTTAAAGTTTAATGGACAACATCAGACGACAAGGACAGACAAAGATGTCACATGTCTTCACTTTAGTAGCTGTATAGTCACAAAAGTGCCGCAAGGAATCACCAAAATTTTTCCAAACTTAAAAATTTTAACCATTTTTAATTCAAAATTGAAAAAAATTACCAAAAATGATTTAATTGAATTCAAAAATTTACAACATTTTTGGTGTCGAAAAAACGAGATTGAATTCCTGCCTCGTGGCTTATTTGAAGGCTTTGAAAACTTGGAAAGTTTAACTTTTCACCAAAATAATTTGCATGTCATTTCACCAAACATTATTGATGGACTTGAGAAGTTAAAGCTGGTAAATTTTGGAGGCAATAAGAATTATTCACAATTTTATTCAACTTATCCAGGAAACAATTCGAATTCATCGCTTGAAGACATGAAAGCTGAATTATTGGCAAATTTTGAATACTTCTCAGACTCATATGCTGAATATCTGCAGCAAAAAAATCCTCAATTTACTTACAATCTTCAAAAAGGAATCGCCAATGACTTTAAAGCGTTCATCAACAAGTCTAAATCTTACAGTGACTTTACGATCATCATTGACCACTTTGAGTTCCCAGTCCACAAATTCTTGCTTGCAGCTCGAAGTCCAACTCTGGCTGAGATCCTTAATAACAACCCTGAAGCCAGCAATTTAAATTTGGTTGACATTTCTTCGGAAATTTTTGAGATAATTCGCAAATTTCTCTACACTGATGAACTTCCAGGCGACGATGGGACGAACTTTATGCATCTTCATGCTGCAGCTGCAAAACTACAGATTAAGGAGCTCCAAAACTATGCAGCTGTAAAGATTATTGAACAAATTGATGAGAACAATTCATTGGACATCCTTAAATTAAGCAACAAATATGATCATGATGAGATGCGATTCAGAGCTTTTGCAGATTTAAAGAAAAAATATCCAAATTATAATTTAAAGTTTAAATTTGCTGATGATTTGGACAAAATTAACAAATTTACTGACGCTATTAAACGTAAGGAAGAAGTTGAAAAGGATATTGAAGAAATATTTAAAGATCAAAGCTGAGTTTCAAAAATTAGACAAAATGCGCGTGACTTGAAATTAAGACAAGATTTTATGGGAAGTTAAATTTTTTTTTCAGTTTAAAATACCAAAAAAAAATAAAAAGAGTCATTTTTAAAAATTAAATAGTAAAAAATTCGTGACTTTTTCTTAAATTTTTTAACCTCAAACTTGAGCCTCCAAAAAAACATCAAACAACAGAAAACTGATTTTTTTTACAGCAAACAACACCGAAAAAAAGAAGCAGCACAAAAAAAAATGCACCAGACTGTCGACAGAATGGCAGTGAAGTCACAATGACGCCAGAAATGCATTTAGTTTTTCCTTTCATATCTCATATTATTTTTTTTGTTGTTGTTGTTGTGCATGCCTTTACCATTTCTACGGATATCCATAGCAAGTCTAATATTTGAATGAAATCTCTTCTCATTCTTCGATGCGGTTCAGCATAAATTTTTGTGGACCATTTTATTTTGTTGCTGTTTCGGATGATTTAACATAGTTTTAGAGCTCGAAGTTGATAGGGTTCAAATAGGGACTCAAAACCGAGTCAACTCAAGTTTTCTCGAGTCAACTTCATTTTCTCGGAGTCAGCTCTGAGTAGACTCGACTTGAGTCGTCTTCATACAAAAAAAATTACCGAGTTGACTCGAAGTCGACTCCAGTCGACTTCGAGCTCTGGTTTTGAATTTTTGGGGGGGTTTTTTTTGGGGATATTGATGTGAAATTTATTTGATTTTTTATTTTTTTTTATTTGTGAAGGTTTGCTATAAAGTTGCTGTAATTTGGTTTGCTATAAAACTGCTAGAATATTATTTGCTATAAAATTACAACAATATTTGCTATAAAACTAGCTTTTTATCAAAAAAATTTCATTGCCTAAGCGTCCAACCATTTCCATGACATCACAAGGCAGCACCACAGCATTAAGCATCAACGATTCATCCCAAAAGTCCACAAATATTCATCAATTTTACTGCAGACAATTCCAAAAACCCAACAAAATAACAAGATTAGCAAATAAAAGACCGAAAAATTTCAAATCCACTTTAAATCCAATCAAACTTCTAAATTCAAATTTTACAGCATATTCATGTAAATTATCTCATCCAAGTCTACATCCACATTTATTTTTTACAGGATTAAAACATTTTATGTGCAAAAATATTTTTCTCTTAAAAATTTCCTCACAAAATGCAAAACTATTTAATCTCATAAAGTACTTTGTTGATTTATTTGACTTTTTTTTGTGTCTTTTACCTCATTCGTGTCGCTTCCTTTTTATTGCTGTTGTTAGTGTGCTTTTTAACCTTTTGTCTACTGCTGTGTTTAACTGCGAGAATGTGAAAATTATTCCATAATTTTTTTATTGTTTGTGATGTTTTTGTGTGCATGTCCATTTATGAGTTTATGAGCTTATCTAATTCCGAGAAGATTAATATAATTGAGGAATTGTGTGCAACCAAGAGGTGCTGAATGTAGAACTTAATAAAGAAACGCAGAATTTACTGCGGGTTTTACAATTGATTTTATAGCAACTTTTTACAATTGATTTTATAGCATCTTTTTATAATGATTTTATAGCATCTTTTTATAATGATTTTAAAGCAACTTTTTACAGTGATTTTATAGCAAATTTTTATAATGATTTCATAGCAACTTTTTATAATGATTTTACAGCAACTTTTTACAGTGATTTTATAGCAAATTTTTATAATGATTTTATAGCAACTTTTTACAGTGATTTTATAGCAACTTTTTACAATGATTTTTATTGCAAATATTCATAATTATTTTTATAGCAACTTTGTACAATTGATTTCATAGCAACTATTTACAATGATTTTAATAGCAACATTTTACTAACAACTTTATAGCAACTCTTTTACAACAAACTTTTATTACAAAGTTGTAGAATATATTTTAAATTCACCCAAAAAAACAGCATTTAATGCAAATTAAATATCCAAACTGCACCACAAGTCGTCCTCATTTACATCAAAACAACAACAAAAGCAGTCAGAATAAAAATCAATTTTTGAAGACTCCAAAATTATATCCTTCTATGATTCTCATTCTCCCCAACATACAGCCAGCATTCATCCATCCTAATTCCAGCATTTCTCTCCAAATTTCTCTCAAAACATTCTCTGACTCTCTCTCATTCTCCCCATGTGCATCTGACGACTACCTCACACCATTATCTGCACACTGGCGACATTAAAGTGCGCTTCCTCATCCCAAATTTTTTTTATCATCTCTCGTGCATGTGTGTAAGGAATTGAATTTGTCTCTCGACTGTCTCATGAAGGCAACAACAACAACAATGATTTGAAGCTTTGAGTTTTTTAAAATTGTGGGAAAGAAGAAGGATTTGAGTCGCCCGCGTAAATGAGATTTCTTTTTTGATGTTAAATGTAAAAGAAAATGATTTGAAAAAGTTTGGATTTTTTGAGGTTTTTTAAGGATTGTGGCGAATTTGAAGAATGTTAAGATTTTTGTAAGATTTTGCTATAAAAACTCAATGTAAAATTTTGCTATAATATTTAATTGTAAAAAGTTGCTATAATATTTAATTGTAAAAAGTTGCTATAAAATTTAATTGTAAAAAGTTGCAATAAAATTAGTTGTATACAGTTGCTATAAAACTTAATTGTAAAAAGTTGCTATAAAATTTGTTGTATAGAGTTGCTATAAAACTTAATTGTAAAAAGTTGTCATAAACTTAATTGTAAAAAGTTGCTATAATATTT